TCCTTCGCATTCCATTACCGTATCACACCACACACTGGATTTTTAGTTTTTTCCTTCGCATGCGTTAATACAGGGTAAACACGAGAAGGCCTCGCTACTTACACTTCAGACACAACTTCATAAAGCGGTGCTGCGACAGGTTTGCAGCTTGCACGTCTGCTAGGGAGCTGTGCAGACCCGTAATCTGGCATCCCAAAGCATGCAGGTCAGACCCTGAAACCTCCTTGACTTGTGCAACCCCATCCCTGCCCTCTCCCACTCGTGCCAGCGCATCACACAGCAGGCGTGTCCCTTGTAACTGCACACCAACAAACCCCAAACAAGTCAAAAGAACACGCACCGTCGAGGGGACTGCAGTGCTCCCGCTCAATGTAGGCCACGGCCGCCGACCGCTCAAAGAACACGTTCGGGTGGCCCTTTAACATCACCGGATCTTGCACCAGGCGCTTCAGGATGGGACACATGAAGTGGCAGGGAACGTTCTTCGTTATGGGGGCTAGCGCCTCCGGTGCCTGGTTGGTGCCCAGGTGTGCGGACCCATGGGTCACGCCAAGGCTCGGTCCGCTAGCCCGGGGCCCCGCCGCCTCCTGCTGTTGCCCATCGGCCTCCTGCTTGACTAGCACCCGCGCAGCCTCGTACTTGGCGTGATGGTGGAGGAATTCGCGTGTGAGGTTCTTCATGTGCTTAACCTCCTCAAGTCCCGTGAGTTCCTCCTCTGTGAACGGCGGCAAGCCTACGTGTGTGTGTGCGCGGCATTGCAAGTAAGACGATGCCCATGAGTTAGCTATAGACGTGTCTATTTCGCAGCTACAAAATAAATAGTCTCGACAGCAAATAACAGGGCGTAAATTAAAATACTGTACCTGTGAACGGCCGGACTGAATGACGCTCTTGGTGCTCTTTAAGAGCTGTTCTATTGACAACGTGGCTCTCGCGGTCCTCCGGGTCGATGACAGGCTCGGTCAGGAGGGCCCCGCTTAAGGGACAAATGACACCAAACGGAATGCCGGGCTGGGAGCGTAGAAGTAACAAGGTTACCGCCTCGGCAGGAGCAGTGACCGCCGCTACGCTTGTTTGTGCTGCCGCCATGCCGCTCGCCCACGTCCAGACAACTACCGAAGCTTTGCGCGGGCTTTTGCTGTAACCGCACGTAAACAGGTTTGATGAAATCCGGCTGCAAAGTACCTCTTATGTGCGTATATAGGTGGCGCGTGAAAAGCGCTTTTGTTGCTCCGCGAGGTAACCCCGAGTGTCGGAACGTGCTGTACACAGTCCGAGGCCTCCGAGGTAAGCGGGCGATCTTGAGACTTTCCTTAGCGAAGCACTTTAACCCATTACAAGAGCAGAGAGAGTATACGTTTACACAACAATGCAGCGAGCAGCAACAAACAAACACGTATCTGCAAATCGTCAGCGAGTCCTGATGTGACCCGGGGTCGGTTTCTTCGTTAGGGATGACGACTGCCAGCCAGCCCTGGGCGTTGCTCATCACGTGTGGAGTCCTTCCGGAATTAAACAAGCCGGGAAAACTCACTGCCCTCGCTAGTACTGTTGGTTCCAAAAGGCAGCACACACGAAAGGAGTCGTCTGCAAACCTCAACCGCTCCCTTACAGGCTGCGATAACAACCGCGCCTACATTAGTACTGGTATACGGTAACGGTAAACAGCAGCTACAGCAGCAGTCGTACAATGTGTACCGGCAATACTTAGCCGCGCCCAAAGTAGGGCCCTACTTAGGCCCCCACCCCAGCATGCTATAGGGCCCTGCACCGCGACCCCTACAACCCCAAACCATTCCTATACGCTTGTACCCGCTAGTGCCCATGCCGTCAGCCGCATGCAATGTGCAATTAAGCTTCCACTTTACCGAGTACCCAATCCTACGCGCTTGTAAAACAGCTGTTGCTACCGTGACAACTCAACACCTAACGTACGGCAGCATTCTAATGATGAACTTTGTCGTACTGCACACTCTTAGCCGTGCAGGTCATCAGTTACGCAAGCACAGCCACGCACACATACAGGGTGGTAGCAGTCCAGCGTCCAACATAGGTCCTTACAATGTACGCAGAGCGCGATGGAAAGGTGTTGGGAGTGCGGACCGTTGGCTGTTATACCACTAACAAACGACTCAGCCGTTATTTCCAACAACTTCCCTCGCCATCTTCCTGTCCAGCAAACCTCTTCACGCTTCCTGTGCATCCTAAGAACCATCGCACATAATATGCCGCTAGGCAATGGGCATTTTTAAGGAACCATTGTAACGGTCATTCATTCAAAGGAATGAACCCCTTAAATGAACTGCCGCCGTAAAGTGGGGTAGGCGGCCGGCCCCTGGCGACTCATGCTGGGACCTAAGGTCACACCGCTGCCCCCCTTGTTGCGTGTTGCCTCCCCTGACACACAGCTCCGCACATGCATGCGTAGGAAGGCCAAGTGCGGCTAACACACACAGCATTCTGGACGACAGTAACCTGTTACCGGGATGCTCTGGTAGGTGGGTGCAGCGTTATCAGACAACTGCTGCCAATGCCTTCCAACTGAAGTGTAGCAGGCCCTTCTAGACGCCTCCCAGGACCTTACTTCCTGCAAGCCATACAACAACTTAATACAACATTTGCAATACTTCAGAGCCCACCGGACCCACGGGTCAAGCCCACTCAGGACAAATCCCCGCTCCAGCTGCACTAACAACCACTGCTGCATTCGTACACGATTCTCTCAGAAGCTCGGGGCCTCATCGTTGCTTCCCGCCGCGCGGCGTTTGGTGTCGTGCGGCGGTTTCTGCGTCTCCTGCTCCCGCTCCTCCTCCTCCACCTAAGGATAAGCACGTCCATACGGGCCCATGGGTCGGGACGGCTCCAGCACTCAAACCACTTGTCGCGTGCAGCACTGCACGAGCTGCTTCCGGTGACCTTCATCTCCTTTGCTTGGCATCATAAGCAAAGGTGGCGTCGTGTTTGTGACCGTCCGGACTTTATGACGCGCTTGGTGCTCCTTAAGAGCGGTTATATTGAGACATATTGCTCTCGCGGTCTTCGGGGTCGATGACCGGCTCGGCTAGGATGGCCCCGCTTAAAGGACAAATGTTATAGAACGGAATGCCGGGCTGAGACATGTTGCTCTCGCGGTCTTCGGGGTCGATGACCGGCTTGGCTAGGAAGGCCCCGCTTAAGGGACAAATGACACCAAACAGGATGCCGGGCTGGGAGCGTGGAAATATGGCCCCGGCAGGAGCGGTGACCGCCGCTGCGCTTGTTTGTGCTGCCGCCATGCCGCTCGCACCGTCCATACAACTACCGAAGCTACCGAAGCTTTGCGCGGGCTTTTGCTGTAACCGCACGTAAACAGGTTTGATGAAATCCGGCTGCAAAGTACCTCTTATGTGCGTATATAGGTGGCGCGTGAAAAGCGCTTTTGTTGCTCCGCGAGGTAACCCCGAGTGCTGTACACAGTCCGAGGCACTCCGAGGTAAGCGGGCGATCTTGAGACTTTCCTTAGCGAAGCACTTTAGCCCCATTACAAGAGCAGAGAGAGTATACGTTTACACAACAATACAGCGAGCAGCAACAAACAAACACGTAGCTGCAAATCGTTAGCGAGTTCCAGTGTGACCCGGGGTCGGTTTCTTCGTTAGGGATGACGACTGCCAGCCAGCCCTGGGCGTTGCTCATCACGTGTGGAGTTCTTCCGGACTGAAACAAGCCGGGAAGACTCACTGCCCTCGCTAGTACTGTTGGTTCCAAAAGGCAACACACACGAAAGGAGTCTGCAAACCTCAATTGCTCCCTTACACGGTGCGATAACAACCGCGCCTACATTAGTACTGGTATAACGGTAACGGTAAACAGCAGCTACACCACTTAGCCGCGCCCAAAGTAGGGCCCTACTTAGGCCCCCACCCCAGCATGCTATAACCTTCCCTGCACCGTGACCCCTAACACCCCAAACCATTCCTATACGCTTGTACCCGCTAGAGCCCATGCCGTCAGCCACATGCAATGTGCAATAAGCTTCCACTTTACCGAGTACCCAATCCTACGCGCTTGTAAAACAGCTGTTGCTATAGTAACAACTCAACGTACGGCAGCAATCGAATGATGAACTTTGTCGTACTGCACACTCTTAGCCGTGCAGGACATCAGTTATGCAAGCACAGCCACGCACACATACAGGGCGGTAGCAATCCAACGTCCAACAAGGAGCCGTACGGAGCCGCGGAAACTCCTTCCCCAGCCAGCCCTAGCCCGACACATCATGTTATGTAACATTAACAGGCCTGGGTACTGCGCAGAAAACCCGTAAAGACCGCCTAGAACTGCAACACGTTCGCAAAGCGCACAGAAAAAGGGTAATATACTAATATTGGGTTCTTCAATACCATGCAAACCATCACGTGGTGTTTCCCTAGTTGAGCTACTTTACATGCTGAGGGCCCCATCCATTCCAAGTATCGTGCCCATGTATGCAACAAAGCCCATTTACCGTATGCTACAAGTCCAACATACACGACAAAAATGACAGCCGCAGCCATGCCTAGCAGGCCGTCAGAAACTACTTGCAGGTGTTGCAGCAGCATCAATCTTGCAGCCTTCCTGAGAATGTGTTTGCACTCTTATCATCGCCACCACCACCACCACCACCACCTGAGGTTGGACGCCCTGACTGTAGCAATGCGCCTAAACAGCCAGGAAGACAATCGCCCTCGTTTCCACAATCCGCTAAAATTCCCTCCCAACTGTCATCCAAGCAGCCCTCCGATCGTAGCACGCGTCAGGCACGGTCAAGAGGAGGACGGTGAGGGGTCTCGCTGAGGCCGCTTGCGTATCCGCACACGTCCGCTACCTCCCGTTACCGGTGCTCCACTCGCCTCTTCACTCCTTGCCCCCGCTTGCTTGCCGCCAGCACCCCGCACCTCCGCCTCCAGAGCCTCCCCCCGCTTTACCCGCTTCCCCGCCCCACTGGCCGCACAACCCGCCACCCGCCTCACCCTCGCCACCACCGCTTTCAAACCTGCTGCTGCTCCTCCTCCTCCTGCTGCTGCTTGTTCTTTCGCCCCTCCATCCGCCACCGACGTCCCAGGCGCCGCCCGCATTAACGCATGCAACGACAGCCGGGCTCTCTGCTGCTGCTGTGCCGCCGCCACCACCCTTTCCCCACCTCCGCCGCCACCACCATACGCCTCCGCCGCCGCCAGGCCCGCCTCCGCCGCTGCCGCCGCCGCCTCCACCTCCGCCACCGCGCGCACGTACTGGTACCTGCGGGCGCTCATGCACAGCCAAACAGCCACCGTCATGGGCGGCGAGCGCTGCAGCTGCATCCGCAGCTCCTCACAGGGCGCCACCGCCGCCGCCAGCTGCGCCGCCTTGGCCGCAACACTGTCCGAGGCGAGCGTCAGGATCTGAGGCGCGCCTCGAAGCACCCCGCGCAGGGCCTCCTGCCGTCGCAGGGCCTCATGGCTGGGCTCCTCCTTTCCCGACTCGTCGCCTTCCCGACCGCCCTGACCGCTCCGTTTACGCCTGCTGCTGCCGCTGCTGTTGCTGCTGCTTCCGCTTCCGCTGCTGCCAGCAACTTGTAGCCCCGCTTGGCTGCCTGCCTCCCCCCCTTCCTCCTCAGACAACCCCAGCACACGTGCCACCACAGCCACCTTCCCACGCACCGCCTGCGGTGCCAGCGTCAGCACCCCCGGCTGCCTCAGCACCACCGCTGCCAGGTCCGCTGCGTCATGCAGCCCCAGAGCCGCTTGGAGCTCCGAAACCCGCTCCGAGAATGTATCCCTCGACAGCATCACCAGCCCCGGCTGCTTCAACAACAGCACCTGGACACGTGAGAAGGGAACGCCCAGCACGTCAGCCGCATGCCGCAGGTTGCGTTCCAGCGTGCCTGGGAAGTAGCCCAGCAGAGCGGGTTGCCGCGCGACGACGGCGGCGACACGACGAAGCGGGGCGCCGGAGAGGATGGCGAGGTCTGCCAGGCGGTTTTCCAGCGCGCCTCGGCTGTTCAGGAGCAGCCGTGGGGCACGGAGTACAACACGGGTGGTGGATTCGTGGTCCAGGCGGAGGAGCTGACGTAGGCCCTCGAAGTTGCCCCAGAGGGTGATGGCGGACGCGGGAAGCAGCATGGGGGCGCGTGTAATGGCGGCGGCTACGGTGTTGTCTGGGAGAAGCGCAGCCAGCATGTCGACGTTCCAGCGGAGGGATTCGGGGGAATAGCGGAGCAGGGAGGGCGCGGTGCGCAGCACGCTGAGCACGCCGCGGCGGCCGAGGGGTGGGCTGAGGCAGTCCAGGAAGCGGAGCAGGCGGGAGAGGAGCACGCCGGGGTTCTGGGAGATGGTACCATGGCAGGAGGCGGAGAGGATGGAGGCGGTGGCGGCACGGGAGAGGCCGGCTTCAGAGCAGATGGCCTTCACGTCCCGCTCTAGGCGAGGGCACCAGCGCTGTTGCGCGGGAACGTAGGCTGTGGTTATTTTAGGGTGGAGGTGCCGGGGATGGCAAGCGGGATATTAGCCATGTTGAGTTGGGAAGAGGAGCTAGCCGTCAGGGTACATACTACGTCAAGTGAGAGCTCTGAGCGCGTGCGGTGGGTGTTACCGCAGGGGTGGTTTGGATAGCCTACCTGTGTCAAGCCATGGTGTCACGGCTTCATCCTGGAAGCGTGAGGGCCGCGACACCACGCCGTTGAATTGTTGATGGAGGCGTTTAATTTCCCAGGCGCGGCGCTCGACAACTCTATGCCCATCGACTTTGACATGCAGAGCAGGTCCTGGCCGCCTTACAGGGCCTGGACGAAGGGCATGTCGACGGATGGGCGTTGACGGCGAACACAAACCGAACTGAAAACGTTCAATTCATTGTAGCTTACCCGGTGACTCGAAATCGTCCAATTGCGGTCTCGCTTGCAGTTCGGTGGGCCGACTTGCGGTCAGCATTGGTGACAAAGGCGACGGCGTTGCGATATAAGGGACATATATAATTTCCCATGCGCTGTAGTCTACACCGTAATTGAGCTGTCCAACAGCAAGCTTTTCGCCTTGCCACAATTGCTAAATCCACTGTCGTATGACGACACATGAGGGTTCAATCACCGATATAATCCTACCCAACTCTATGTATACATGCAATGTTTACTTTATTACCTGTCTATTGCCTCGCTCAATGCGCGGCTCCCTAAACGGGTCTTAATCTGCAGCGCCCCGTAACTTTCTTGCCGGAGGGGCAGCAGGGCCTATGTACCAAGTGTATTATAATGTCCGCAGCTTAAGCTCCAGCAGCTGCCAAGGGGCTTGCAGGCGGCGGCCGCCGTGCAAGGCCGCTTTGCGGCGGATCGCATTGCAAGATGGCGACTCAGCGGGCTAGCGGCAGGCCTGATTTGTTCCAAGCTCTTTAGCGCGAACACATGGGGTGGTCATCGTTCAATACGATTCAACCACTCTGGCGCCGAGCAGGCGTCGTCTGTGCCCAACTGCATCTCCGCAGGTAAGACGTGGACTGGCGCGGATAGTAGTACTGTACAGTACGCACAGTTCGGCAGGTAGTGGAAGGTCTAGCTACATCTATTCGATACAGCATGTGGGCCGATTCAGGGGTGGGGCTGGGGTAGCGGGCAACCGATGAATAGCGGATAGGGATCAGCCGTTCAGCCTGCAACCTGTGATGAAGTCTTTTTTGCTCGACAATCCTCCTCAATGGAGGTGGCTCTGGGAGCAAATAAAGTTTGAGAATATCTGAGGTTGACGGCGCTCGCTGTAGCATAATTGCGCCTGCTTGCTTGGCAGTAGTACAGCGGTTACCTGGCTTGGGGAGCGGGGACCTGCGCAAACGCAATCGGGTTGATGATGGTTGAGGAGTGGTGTGCGGCACATTGCCGCATTGCTTGTTCAAGGCTGAGTTGGCAGAACATTTCCATGCATGTGTCTGCAGTGTAGTACTTTAGTCAAAGCGGCAGGTGCCGCAGCGTTGGGCCTGTGACGAATACCTTAACAACCCGACCACATGGCTCCTGCCGTGGCCCATGGGGGTTAAAGTTTGAGAATATCCGAGGCCTGGTACTACTCCCTGTCCTGTTCTGAGCTGAACAGTCCATCCCTCGCCGAACGAATTGCATATTGGTGGGCAGAACGTAATCCTTTCGCCTAATAATGAAGCACCGGACTGACCGATACCACCGCCCTCACAAACCCCTATGCTTGTGTTTGTCAGGTGCAGCTTTACTCCAAATGAGTGACGTCCCATGGGTCGGCTGGGAGGCGTAGCAATCGACGTCACCCATACCTTCTTCCGTCCCATCTGCATGGCTGCAACCGTCACACCTGGGTTGAGCGCGGGCTGCGGCTCAGCTTGACATGATTGCTGGATGCGGCCTGATGCGGCAAGAGTTATTTCGTACATAGCAACATAGCCGTACATTTCGTACATACGGAGGACTGAGGACTTCCAGCGGGGGTGGACCAGACGGTATTCTTTGAGACGCACGCTCCTTTGGCATCCTGCCTGCACTTAGTTTTCTCGCTACATGGTTTACTAAGTTTTATGGTTGGCCGTTATTTGCATTGGTTGTGGATTGCATGATGGTGTTGATTGTACGTGTTTCAGGCCATTTTTTCACAACGAGGACATACCCCTGTGCCATTTTTAAATATTCGCATAGGACGGCTGTGTAACGTGGCTGTGTATCGTCTTGCCTGCATTCTTAAAATACGGGCACCGTTGTCAAGATCAGTGTTGCTTAACACACAAGCACATGCGTCTCACACTCCACGTGTTCGTACGTGTGTTCGTACCGGCTTGTGGAAAACGTGCCACTACCCAGCACACATGTAACAACAGCCTGGACTCCCGTTGTGTGATTGTCTGGCAGTGTCACTTCCCCCCGATGTTATGCCTGATTCCTTCAAGCATGACTTCAACGCATCCCCTTCATGTCAGCCTCTCTGACCTGTCACGCTACAGTATAGGTATATAGCACCACTCAAGTAACCGTACAGTAATCGAAGTCCCGTACGACAAGCAAAATATCCACCACCCAAAGCAAACAGTAAAATCAACGCGCCTAGCTCGCCACCACCTCCAGCTCAGCCGCAAACATGACTCGGCTCGTGCGCGAGGAGTTAATGCTGCCACGCGGGGAGCCCTCCGGCCCCTCCGCACCACCTCCTCCCCGCCGCAACAACCTTTGTCGCACAACCGACGGCGTATCCAGTACGACAGCCGTACTGGGCACCTCCGCATCCTCCGACCCATCCGCCTGAGAGGACAGCTGCTGAGAGGATTGTTGGGAGGACTGCTGAGAGGGTTGAGGCTGCGGACGGAAACACAGCCCTGGCTGCCAAAACACAGGAGCAGCAGGAGGGACTGCTGTGGCTGCCGCCGCCCCAGCTGCTGCTGTCGGTCCTGCTGCTGCTACTGCCTGTTGCGGTATGAGCCCCGGCGACCTCGACGCAAGGGACGATGGCAAGGGCGGCCTTCCTATCCCTCCGCCACCAGAAGAAATGGAGCCCCGCCGTACCTCCTCATACAACTCCTGCGCCGACGCTGCGGCCGCCGCCGCGGTCGCCTGCCGATATTCCTCCTCTGCCGCCGCCGCCGCTGCCGCCAGCAACGCCAGCTCCTCCGGACTACTGCCGTGCGCGACGCCGCCACCGCCGCCGCCTCCTGAAGGCCGCGGCGGCGGCGCCTTCATGCGTGGCGGAACCGCCGCCGACACCTCCGCTGGCGGCGGCGGCGGTGATGGGGGCGACGGCGGGGTGGCTGCGGCGGAGGCTGCCTTCGTCTTACCGCCGATTGTTGTTCCTGCTGCACCCTTGCGTGCCGAAGCGGCGCCTTTCCCGGCCTTGCGCTGGCTTTTCCCTCGAGCACCCCGCTTGCCGGCGGGAGCGGGCGAGTCAGTCTCATCTTCAGTGGCCGAGGCAGCTGCTGCTGCTGCTGCGGCGGCGGCGGCGGCCACGTCAGTTATGGTGGCGCCGCTGCCGCCAGCTGAGACATGCAGGCTGGCGAGGACCTCCGCAGCAGAGGACGAATCGGGGTCTGATGAACCCAAGTACGACAGGCGCTTTGAGGCCGGTGGTGGGTTGCTACTGCTGCTGCTGTTGGTGTTGTTGTTACCAGCACCACCACCAGCACTTGCATTCGGTTGCGAGTGGGAGTGGAGGTGGGAGAAGGAGGGGTCCAGGGAGGGCTCACTCGCGATGGAGGACTCCTTGTTGGAATGGTGCAGCCCCGAGGAGGAGGAGGACGACCGCGGTCCGGAGCTTGCACGATGTCCTCCACCGCCAGCAGCAGCAGCAGCAGCAGCAGCAGCGGAGGCACCGCCATGGCTTGCATGCATCTGTGCATCATAGTGAGATGCTGCATGTGGCGAGTGCGGAGTGTGCGGTGTATGACTCCCACTTCCTCCTCCTCCTCCTCCTCCGGCTCCGCCATGGGATTGGGATCGCCCTTGGTGGCGCTGATGGTGGTGGTGGTGGTGGTGCTTGGGGCTCTTGGGCAGCAGCGCTGGTGCGGGCGGCGGGGTGGCCCGTGGGTCGCTGCAGTCGCCCTCCAGCGCGGCTTGCACGCCTCGGGAGCAGTCGGCGACGTGGGAGAGCTGGGCGGCCCGCAACCCCTCCGCCAGCCGAGCTGCGTCGCGGAGGGTGGCGCCCCGGGCTGCGTGGGCGGCCTCCACCCGGTTCATGTCGCCCTCCAGATCGGACACGGTTTCCTCCAGCAGCTCATTCTGGCGGGGTGGGAGGGTGGGTGATGGGATGGTGGGTGGTGGTGGGAGTGAGGGTGGTGGTGGTGGTGGTGGTGAGGTAGTGGGAAGCAGAGGAAAGCAGATTTCAGGTAAGGCGGGTAAGAGGCATGAAGCCGGGGAAGAGGGGGTTAGTGAGAGTGGTCGTACAGCGCACTCCTCCGCCCATGTCCCATACAACGGTGCTTCAGCAGAAGACTGTAAAAAGGGAACGACAGGCCGAAGTACACTACCCGACCGCCAGCCCCCACCAGCCCCCACTCCGCCACCCCCGTGTCCCCCTCACGCCCCATATCCCGCGCCTCGCCCCGGCCGTGCACCCCGTCCCACATCCTGGACACCTCCCGCCCAGCTCGTTACTTCCCTCTTTTCTCAGGAGGTCGTCAGCTTGTTTGCTATCATCATTCAACACCTTGGGATTCTTCATTTCCCACCCCCCCCCATCCCCATTGCTTTGTCCTAACCTGTGATTTCCTATGGTTTGGTACTTGCCCTCACCCTCTCCTCCACCCAGTATGGTCTTTAACCTTCTCCCGCCCAGTATGGTACTTACCCCCCTCCACCCAGTACGGTCTTTCCTCCCCCCCCAAACCCCCCGCCCACCTTTGCCCTCAGCTTCTCCAGCTCCCGCTCCAGCTCCTTGATGTAGCAGGTGAGGTCGCTCACGTTGTGTCCCGCGCGCTGCAGCAGCGAGTGGATGGAAGCCAGCTGCCGCTCGGCCTGGGCGGCCCTGGGGGGGGGGGGGGAAGGTGCGTGGGGGAGGAGGTGAAGGTGGAGGAGGTCGGTGCATGGAAAGGCGCGCGGGACACCGTGTTTTATGCGGTTGGGGGAGTGTGTGGTTGTGTGTGGTGGTGGTGGTGGGGGGGATGCAACCCACCGACCCACCGGTAACATGGCTGCCGATACCGGTAGCACGGGCAGGAGCTTCCGGCCGTCCTCGCCTCGCCATTCCCAACCCCCGTTACCACCACCGCCACCGGCTCCCCTCCAAACCCAACACCACCCACCCACCCCACCCCCAACCCCACCCCCATCCCCACCTGTCCATGGCATCCTCCGCCGCCATCTCCAGCCGCTCCACCGCCGCCTGCAGCCCCTCCGCGTGCGCCCGCTGCCCCTCGTACGCGCGCAGCAGCGCCCCCGCCAGCGCCAGGTGCGGCGAGGCGGCCCCCGCGCAGCAGCGCAGCACCGCCAGCAGCCATGACACCTCGCCCAGCAGCAGGTCCAGACCGGCGGCGAGGAGGAAGCCGGCGTCGGGGGGGAGCTGGGGGTCTGGGGTGGGGCCGGGGTGCGGGTGAGGGGTGGTGGGGGGGGCTGGGGGTGAGGGAGCGAAGGAAGATGGGGGTAAGGAGGAGCAGCTAACCTGGTAAGCATGTGGCATGGGTAAGAGGGGCATGGCAGTGGTGGGAGGGGACGAGGGCGTGCGGGTGGTGGTGGGTAGGTGAGGGGGTGGTGGTGATGGAGCAAGGGAACAGCTGCACGTCTCGCATGCATCCGATGTGGTGAGGTGGCCCCATGTCATGACAAAGCATGTCATGTTTAATTCAAGCCACCTTGACACTTCCCTTCCCTCCCTCCCCCTCCTCCGGAATTGGGACTCCGTTGCTGCACTTATCAGTTATTCCCTCCCTCCACCCCCGTCCTTTCCTCCTCCCTCCCTCCTCCGCTCACCCTGCTGCATCATGAGCGCCAGCCGAGCCAGGAAGTACAGCACCTGCTCCGTGTGCTTCGGGTGAAGCGCACCCGTCACGGCAGCCCGCATCGCATTGCGCCGTACGGCAAGATCCACCGCCGCCGCCGCCGTCGCCGCGCCCCTGGCGGCGCCGCCGCCGCCGCCGGCTGCCGTACCCTCACCACCCATTCCGTCGCCCATCGTCACGTCCATCAACCGTACAAGCCGGTCAACGGGATTGACTCCGCTGCCGCCGCGACGGTGATGGTGGTGCGACGCCGCGACGCCAGCGGATCCCGTCACCGCCGCCATCGCCGCCGCCACGGTCCTTCCGCCGCCGCCGCCGCCGCCAGCGGCCCCCGTCACGCCTTGTCCCTCCTCCATAGACATGACGAGGTCCGCGCGGACTGCATGGGAGTCGTGGAGCTGCAGCATGAGGGATTCCAGCAGCGTCCAGGCCTTGTTCAGGCTGGCAGCGGAGGCCGGCGGCAGCGCCGCTGGCAACACCGGCTGCGCTGCTGACGTGGCAGCCGCCGCCGCCGCCGCCGCCGCCGCTGCAGCAACAGCGGACGGGTGCCTCCTGCTGCTCATGCGTGATAAGGTGCCGTGCTGCAAGGGTGACGCCGGTACGGCACCGGCTCTGTGTTCTGCTGTTTGCTGTTGTTGTAGCTGTTGTTGTTGTTGTTGTTGTGCCGTCGCCGCCGCCGCTGCGACGGCGGCGGCAGCGGCGGATGCAGATATGCTCCCCCGACGTGACAACGCGGCGTTGCTTCGGAAGCTGCTGAGGCGGGACAGCATGGGCGGTGCGGGCGCGCTTCCAGCCGTTACGCTGCCGCCTCCTCCGCCGCCGCCATTGATACTGACCCCGCCTCCGCCGCCGGCTATGCTGGTGCTAGCCATGCTGACCCGGCTGCTCATGCGTCCGCCGCTGCTGCCGCTCAAAAGGGCATCCACAAAGCTAGCGGTGGGGCCTCCTGCTCCCGCGTGGTTGTGGTGGTGGGAGGAGGAGGAGTAAGCCATGGAGGTGGACCCCAGGGAGGACGCATCCAGACGAGACTGGTTAGACTGGTGATGCTGAAGCAGGGTATTGAAAGGACGTCGTACGGCACCCCAGGTGCTCCCATCGTCTTCCCCCTCGTCGCCGTACTCGTCCTCGTCGTCATCAATGGCAGCGAAGGAGGTACGCTGCGAAACAGTGCGAGCCAGGGAGGGGCTACGACCCATGGGTCCTCGGAACGAGGCAGCGGCAGTAGCGATCTGCTGCAGCGCTGCTTGCGTGTATTGCTGCTGGTAGTGCTGCTGCGGCGGTGTTAGTTGCTGGTACTGTTGCTGCAGGTAGGGGTCTAGCTGCTGCTGTTGCTGCTGTAGCTGGAATTGGATGTGTTGGTGTGCATGGGAGTGCGGCTGCGTGCCTTGCACCAGCACCCCACCACCTCCACCACCGCCACCACCACCACCGCCACCGCCATGGGCCTTTCTGGGAGTCCCACCTGTCAGATCCGCAGGCGTGGGGGACTGCGGCGAGGCGCCCAGGGGCTCCACCCCTCCCACCTCCGCATCGCCCAAGTTGCCATCCCCATCGGCACCACTCACAACCAAGCCCGCATCTGCTGCTGCTGTGCCGGTGAAAGGTGAGGAGGGCCCCGGCTGCTGCTGCTCTGCCCCCGCAGCAGCACCACCAGCAGCAGCACCGCCCTCCCCCGGCATCTCCTTGAGCGCCTCCGCAGCAGCCCGACGGAGGTCCTCCGTGTCCCGACCCACCACCACCTGCAGGGGAGCAGGAGGAGGCGGAGGGGGAAGAGGAGGAGGCGGAGGAGGAGGAGGAGGAGCAGGAGGGGGAGGAGGGGGTTGCGTAATGCTACTTTTCCTTACAACCAATCCTCGGGGAGTCCTTACAACCAATCCCTGGGGAGTCCGACCGCATAGGGACACCCTCGCACCTCGCAGTACCAGCAACATGGGGGCGGGTGAGCAGTGTGATACGACGTGTGGAAAGCATGAGAGTACGGAGGAGGGTTGGGGAGCCGAATGCGGACGTATGATGATGGGGGGGGTGCGCCTGCGCAGCCCCACTACCCTCATGCCCTCACCCTTCTCCCTCCCCTTCCCCCCTCCCCCGCCTCCCCCGCCTCCCGCCCCCCCACCTGCAGCTTCCTCCTCATGGCCCGCACCACCTCCTCCAGCCCCTCCAGCCCCGCCACCCCCCGGCTAGCCCCAGCCAGGTAGTCCCGAGCCGCACCCAGCGGGAACAGCGGCGGGGGCGGGGGCAGCCAGGGCCGCCGCCGCCCGTCTGCCCCCAGCGGCCCGCCCTTCTCCTGCTGCAGCAGCTCCGCGATGCGGGCGTCAACCTGGGTGGGGGTGGGGGGAAGGGGGGGAGGGTGGTGAGCCCCTGAGGAGATCCCACTCTATCGGCTAGTGGTCCTAGCCAACCGAGCCAAGCTTCCGACATCTCGTCGGGAGGAGCTTACAACACAGCACTACAACATCCCGCTGCTAGCATGCCGTATCTGCGGTCCCCTGAGCAACCCGAGCGAGCCACATGACCACACGCGGCATCACACGCCCACCACAGCCCACAGCGCACCTGATCCAGCACGGACCCCCCCGCCAACGCCGGCCCCCGCCGGACCGCCTCCAAGCCGCTGAAGGAGGCCAACTCGTTCAGCGCCCGCGCCAGCTGCCACACCGCCAGCTCCTCGGGGCCCATGCGCGCCGCCTCCTCCTCCTCCGCAACGTCCCGTGGGTCGCGAGGGGGCCCGCGGGCAGGCCCCGGGCCGGGCTTGGCGCCCAGGAGCTTGGAGGTGGTGGTGGTGGAGGTGGTGGCGGCGGTGGTGTAGGGGTGGTGGTTGGAGGGGTGGAAGGAGGCGCCGAGGGGGTTCTTGGGGAGAGAGGTGGGGTGGTGGGAGGCTCCTGGAGGAGGAGGAGGAGGAGGAGGAGGGGAGAGGGGGGAGAAGGACATGGGCGGTGAGGGGCGGGACATGAGGGGGTAGGGGAAGCGACCCTGGCCATGGCTCTTCACTCCTTGCAAAGCCCTTTACCCGTCTCAAACGCTTCTCACACCTCACAGCCCACCCATCCACCTGTCTAACCAACCAACCTACACCATGCACATACACCCCACACCACTCACCCGTCTCCCCCGCCGCCGCCGCCGCCGCCGCCGCCGCTGCCGCTGCCGCCGTCGTCTCCTCCAGCGGCTCCCGCCACCTGCCGCCCCAGCCGCCCAGCCCTCGGGCAGCGCGGCGGGCCACGGCAGCTGGACTGTAGTCGTCATCATCGCTGGAGGAGGAGGAGGAGGCGGAGGCGCCCTGCATGGTGAAGGGGTGAGGTGGAGGGTAATGCATGGAATGAAATGGAATGCATGAGGGTATTGTGAACTAAGTGGGAGGAAAGGAGGAGGAGGAGGAGGAGGAGGAGGATGTGTCACGGCCTGAGTGCGGATCCGCAGATGCTGTGGGGGTTTGCTACCGGTAGGGAGTGAGAGCATAGGCCCACGCCGGTGTTTCAGAAACAGACACGCGACGGCAGCGTCGCGCTGCCAACTGGAGGCATCAACCGCTTCCACACCCGTCTTCACCGCAGAGCGCACAACCATACCTCCTTCCCTAAAGAGAGGCACACACACCTTCCGACAATCCAGACCGTTCCTACTCGCGGCCAGGTTTGCTTATCACACACACTGACACACACAACCGGTTACTCACCGGTGCTACTGCACGCTGCTGCAGCTTGCCCCGCCCCGCCGCCGCAGCAGCCATGGCCCCCGTTCGCCTCCGCTCCGCCTGCCTCTGCGCCGCCACCCTTCCCGCTCGCTCCAAGATGCCGCGGTAACGCTCACGCGGCGACACCAGGGGCGGCGGCGGCGGCGTCAGCGCCGCGGCCGCCGGCCAGCCCGGCACTTGCATGTTGTACGGCATACCCGCCGGCTGCGGCGAGGCCCCTGACGCCAGGAACACTGGCGACAGCGGGGATGGCGGGGCGCCCAGCACGGACGCCAGCTCTCGTGGGGAGTTCTCGCTGGCGAGTAGTGCGGGTTGCGAGGAGCGGGTAGACATCATGGTCGTGGAACGCGACATGGCGCTACGTGCCATGCTGCTGGCGCTGAAGCTGCCCGCGGCGCCGCCGCTGGCGGCCGCGGCGGCGGCGGCGGCCCGCAACGTGACTGACGTCAGCTTGGGAGGTGTGGATGAGGAGCTCGGACGGCTGCCGGTACGAACGGCGCTTACGTCGGCTTCGCAGCCGGGTTCCGAGGGCCCCGCAGCGGCGCCCACTACCGTAGACACGGAGGGCTGCTCGGAGACTGAGGAGGAGGTGGCGTCCGGGTCCGGCATGAGGAAGGACACGGCGGGTGTACGGGTGGCCCCACCGCCGCCGCGTCCCCCAGTGCCTGCATGTGTCGTCACCGCCGCCGCCGGCGACGACGACGCCAGGGCTGTCGCTGCCGTCGCCAGCCAGTTGCCGTCGGCGTGCGGTCGAGGCGACGTTGCCGCTGGCTCCGGCGACCCGGGACGGAAGGCGACGGAGGCGGCGGCGGAGGCTCGAGTCGCCGCTGACGTCACCGCTCTGCCACCGCCACCACCTCCCGTAGCAGCAACCGCGCCGTCTCCGGTGCCATTCACTGGCGTCATGTCTCCTGGGTCCGTACCGTCGGAGGAGGGCATGACCCCCGACAGGCCCTGCAGTGGCAGCGTTGGAGACAGGGGGTCCGGCTCCGGAGAGGGAGAGCGGTCGGGAGAGGAGGAGGAGCACTCCGCGTTTGCTAGCAGGCTCCAAGCGGCCTGCTGCTGTTGCTGCTGGTACTGCTGGTGCAACTGCTGGTGGTACAGGTACAGCCCACCGGCGCCGCCCTGCTGCGGCTGCAGGCCATTTCCCTGTTTGTTGTGGGCGTCTGAAGAAGGTGGAGCAGCAGCGGCGTTGCCGCTGTACGGCCGGTGTACGGCATACGTGTGTTGGCTGTACGGCGGCAGCTTTTGGGAGCGCAGCTGCTCTAGGCTGAGGTTGTGTGCGGCTGCTGCTGCCGTGGCTGCTGAGGCTGAGGCTGCGGCCATGTCGTCGGGGCCGGTTGGAGTGGTGCTGCGGTTGAGGGGCTGTCGTACAAGGCCGGGGCGCATGGAGACGACACGGGGTGCTTCCTGGTTGCCTGGTGGCATGGGACCAAGGGATTGGGGTTGGGATTGGGATTGGGTATTGTACGGCAAGAGGAGAACCCCTAAAGACATCAAGAGCAGTGTGAGGAGTCAAGAGGTTAAACAACTTACAGTAAGCTCCAGGCTCCCTGCCAGGGACAGTACCCAGGGACAGCCCCTGTCGCCGAGCGGTCGCTTGCGAAAAGCATGCCCCCTGTCTGCCGTACCTACCCTTGCCAAGGATCATGGAAGCCGATGCGGCGCGCTGTCGCCGTACATCCCGTGGGGCTGTGTTGGCTGAGGATGACATGGGCCTGGCTCCCGGAGCACCGCTACCTTCTCCTGCTGGGCCCCGTGCGCTGTTGCTGAGGGGACCCCCATGCAGGGAAGCACTACCAGCACGTTTGCGAGCTTTGGGCTGTAACACGCCTGCCCGTTGCATCACGTCAGCTGTGTGGTTCGAAGAGATGGGAAAGGATGGCTCGGTTAGGGTAGGTAGAACACAACTGTGAGCACCTCTGCTTCAATCAGCCGTAATGTACTTACTCAGGAGTTTTGGATCTGGTGTAAACTCGCTGAGGCCGACGCGGCCGAGGACCTAGCGGCATGGCCAATGGGTCCGTCGGGAAAGGAGCATTAATTTCGTGCGGTAATCAGTGCTTATAGAGTAAGCGCTAAAAGATACACAGGAAATTGGTGTCGGGCGATAACCTACCTCCCAATGCCGCTCCCATTCTGGGCTTTCGCTCTGTGGGCCCGCCATAGCAACCGCGCCCTCAATTGCTTTCAAAGAGACGTATTAATACGTGTATATTGACATTGCCAATAACGCTATCCTACTTAGCCCCGGCGAGGATGTTACTTCTATCCGCGTCCCATCTACAATTCCTCGAACTTGAATACGGTCATATATTGTAAAACGAAGAATGCGGCATGTGTTTGTGCGTAAACGATTGCGGTCAGAGCTAACCGTATGAAAGTGCTATGTTACATGCGAAGGCAAAGTTACAGCCCGCTATCCTAAAGACCCAAATAACCATGTTAGGCTTACATACCATTAGCCGTAGATATGGCCGTGATACGGAGCTACCCAACTCTCCTCGCCAATCGGTGCCGTACAGCCGGATGGAGATGCAACAAACCTTTTCCTTGCCCAATTCCAACCGGACGCGTCCCACGCACGCCCAAGCGTGAAAACCCTACCGCGAAATCCACACTGCATCAGGCTGTCTTGTTTGACTTGGGACACACACATGCATCCTCAGCCCTCCCGGGGCAAGTATTCTGGTGATCCTGAGGCAAAAAGTCCCAACGTTCTTTCTTGGCGTCTTGTGTATCTCTGCACCCCATATTCTTCCGTGCTCTTCAGGCTGTGCATCCGTTTCAAAAGTCCGGTTCCATCCAGTTTCCATACTAGCCACTCAAGGAAGCAGCGACTAAAGAAGCAGCGTCACAGCAGCCCCTCAAACCCTCCTCCTCCGCCCTGTGGCAGCCACGTGGATGTACGCCCCAAAAAGCCGTGTGCTCCATATGTACAAAGGTACGGCACTCTCAAAGGTACGGCACTCTTGCACGAGTGTCGTACAACACTAACCGACAACCCCGTACCATGCCACACCGCCCCGCTCCGGGTCAGGTACGGCTCAGCCGTCTAGCCACCTCTCAATTGGAGCTGTCAGTTGACAACAGTTGACATACAACGAGGGGTTTGCTTCACTCGCCACAGCAAACCATTCCTGTGCACAAGTGGCAAAGGCCCATGTCCTAATCAGTTCCGTGGAAACGAACACAAGATACACTTACCGCGTTTGCTTGCCGGAGCCCTCTGGCAAGCGTCCATCATTATCCGGTGAAGTCTTCCGTACGTAATCGGGTACGTCATAATTCGCACACAGCTTTCTGTCCGGTAACGCCTGGTAAGTCCTCAATCAACAAAACCGCGGTCCCATGGTCACCACCCAAAAGCACGAGTGCAGCGTCCTAGCAAGACCATCAAGTCACACATGCGCCACCTCAAATGACGAACATGAATACTTTACACTCCCCTTTTTTACACTCCCTTTTTACACCCCCCTTTGTACACCCCTCCTGGCATGCATGCATGCTCCGTCGCCGCTCCCCCTCCGCTACCGCTACCTCCCTCCCGCCGGCAGCCCCATCGCCGACCAATCACACGTCAGCTCCTCCCCAGCCGGCACGTGCCGTACGGCAAACAACCCAATGTAGTACAACAACGGGCTCCGGCACGCACCCGCCAACACCGGCTGAGCCACAAGCGCAGGACCCAGATCTCCACCACCGCCCCCAGGGCCCGATGACGGCATCCACTGTCGTACAAACCGTGTCACATTACCTGCCCGTCGCGTGTCAATCGCAAGCATGCACGACAAGCGGCGTACGGCAGGTCTTGCGGCGTCAGCTGGGGTGACGGGTGAGGGCGACCCAGTGCCGTACCCACCGTTGCTGTACTTTCCGTACAGGTTCTGGTTGTAGCTGCTGCTTCCGTTACCGTTACCGTTAATGCTAGGGTAGTTACCGTTGCCGTACTTGGTGGTTGTGCTACTTGACAGGGTGCCGTCCCGCAGAGCGTGAGCCAGGGGGTTGGGGGGCAGCTGCCAGAGCCGCACGTGCCGGTCGCACCAGAGTAGTCCCCGCGTGTAGACGGCCTGTGGTGGAAGGCGCAGCCGATACCGTATGAACAGGGGCAGCTCACAGCCTTCTCCCAACCCCTACATCCCGCCCACCCAAACACACACACGCATGCATCCCGAGTGGCTCCCCACATTCCTTCCCTGACACCACCCTCCCCTTCGCGACCTCCCTTCCCACCTCCCGAACCCCCCGAACCCCCGTTCGCCCCCCCCCCCCCCTCCTATGGTTTGGTATGGTCTTTGACCCCCCCTCCCCCCCCAACTCACATCCCACAGCCCAAAGTAGTGGTTCAACAGCACCACTCCAGGCGGCTCCAGCGCCCCTCCTCCTCCGCCGCCTCCTCCACCTCCCGCGCTGCCCTCCTCCTGCTCCTCCTGCTCCTCCCCGCCTCGCCCCCCCAGCAGCCCAGCCGCCGCCACCAGCCGCCCCAACACCGGCGCCACCAACTCCCCGGCAGCCAGGTCCCGACAGCATCGCAACCCCCAGCTGCGGTCACGTGTACGGAAAACCTCCAACGGCAGTCGTACACCGTACGGCAGCTGCATGTTGGCCTGACAGCGGGGCTGAGGCTGCTGCTGCTGCTGCTGGCCTGGGGGGCAGCTGCAACCAGGACTGCATTCGTGCACGCCTGGGGGGAGCGGGGGGGAGAGGAGCAGCAGAGGCGGCGGCGGAGAGAGGACTGGCGTGATGATGATGATGCTGGTGGCGACGCGGATCTCATCAACCTCAACACACGTGCTTGTACCGCGGGTAGGTTATCGCGACAGGTTAGAACCGTCATGCCAGCCACCCAGACGGCATTCCACGCCCACTCCAAACCCAACCCAAGCCCCCAAGCTCCCCCATCCCCCATCCCCCACCCCACCTAGCGGCCGGGTCGCCAGCAGCCGTCCATCCGGCCCGTAGCAGCACTCCGGCTCCGAAACCGCCTCAGCGGCTGCCCCTGATCCTGCCGGCGACTTGCCCCCCTGCTGCCCCTGCTGCCGTCGTTCCCGCTCCAGCCTCTGTCGTACGGCCTCGTGGTAGGCGCGGCCGCAGGGAGCGCCCCACTGGGGCTCCGCGGCCTCACACAGGGCCTGCGAGGGGGGGGGGCGGGATGCGGGGTGGTGTTAGAGGGGGGGGGGCGGGATGCGGGGTGGTGTTAGAGGGGGGGGGGGCGGGATGCGGGGTGGTGTTAGAGGGGGGGGCGGGATGCGGGGTGGTGTTAGAGGGGGGGGCGGGATGCGGGGTGGTGTTAGAGGGGATGGGCGGGATGCGGGGTGGTGTTAGAGGGGGGGGGGCGGGATGCGGGGTGGTGTTAGAGGGGGGGGGCGGGATGCGGGGTGGTGTTAGAGGGGGGGGGCGGGATGCGGGGTGGTGTTAGAGGGGGGGGCGGGATGCGGGGTGGTGTTAGAGGGGGGGGGCGGGATGCGGGGTGGTGTTAGAGGGGGGGGCGGGATGCGGGGTGGTGTTAGAGGGGGGGGCGGGATGCGGGGTGGTGTTAGAGGGGGGGGCGGGATGCGGGGTGGTGTTAGAGGGGGGGGCGGGATGCGGGGTGGTGTTAGAGGGGGGGGCGGGATGCGGGGTGGTGTTAGAGGGGGGGGCGGGATGCGGGGTGGTGTTAGAGGGGGGGGCGGGATGCGGGGTGGTGTTAGAGGGGGGGGCGGGATGCGGGGTGGTGTTAGAGGGGGGGGCGGGATGCGGGGTGGTGTTAGAGGGGGGGGCGGGATGCGGGGTGCTTTAGAGGGGGGGGCGGGATGCGGGGTGGTGTTAGAGGGGGGGCGGGATGCGGGGTGGTGTTAGAGGGGGGGGCGGGATGCGGGGTGGTGTTAGAGGGGGGGGCGGGATGCGGGGTGGTGTTAGAGGGGGGGGCGGGATGCGGGGTGGTGTTAGAGGGGGGGGCGGGATGCGGGGTGGTGTTAGAGGGGGGGGCGGGATGCGGGGTGGTGTTAGAGGGGGGGGCGGGATGCGGGGTGGTGTTAGAGGGGGGGGCGGGATGCGGGGTGGTGTTAGAGGGGGGGGCGGGATGCGGGGTGGTGTTAGAGGGGGGGGCGGGATGCGGGGTGTGTGGGTTGGTGGGGGGTGGTACCGGTCAGCCGGAGGGTGCGTGCAGGAGCCGGAAACCCCCCATCCTTGTGCTTGTCTAAGTGCTGAACAAATGTCGCACAAAGCACAAAGCACCCGTACGTTCCAACTCGCGGCCAGTTTCCTTAACACGCACACACCTCGCGGCGGCCGGCGCTACCAGCACCCCTTTCCCCCCCCTCCTTCCCCTCCCCCTCCCCCTCACCCTCAGCTCCTCCGCTGCCGCCGCCACCCCCGGCTGCCTGCTCCCCGCCTCCGCCAGCTCCCCCGCCAGCCGCCCCTCGAACGCGTCCCACCCCAGGTAGGTGAAGGCGGGCGGCCGGGCGGAGTCCACCTCGTTGAAGGCAAACACGGGGACCTGGGGGAGGGAGGAAGCGCGTGGCGTCGGAAGAGCTGCTCCCGTGTAGTCGTGTTTACCGGTAGACCGGGTGCCAACCCCGGCCCCGGCCTCACCAGCGTTCCCCCAGGCCTCTCCCCCACACCTGCAGCCTCCTATCCCCATTGCCCCTGCCCTAACCCCTGTGGTTTCCTGTGGTTCGGTATGATGGTCTTTGACCCCCCAACCCCCCATACACACATACCTGCTCCTGGTTTCCGCTGATGAGGCCGCAGAAGCCGGCTCGCCCCCGCGCCCGCGCCTCCAGCTGCTGCCGCGCCTCGGGACCCAGGGGCGGTGGGGGGACCGGGGCGGAGGGCGAGGAGGACTGCCGGGGAGGGGGGTGGGCAGCAGCAGCAGCAGCAGCCGAGGCGTGAAGCATGGAGAGAGGGAGGGAGGATTGCCGGGGCTGTGGGGTGACTGGGGCTGATGCAAGACAGATGTTGGCAAAGGCCGAAAGGAGTGCAATGATGTCCTAGGCGGCTTAGCACAGGGGGTGGGAACAGAGGATGCAGGGTGAGGAACCCAGCCACCCCAGCTACCCAACCCAGCCCCTCCCCCTCCCTCAGCTCACCGCCAGAGGTATCGGATCAAACTCGTGGCGTGGTCGCTTGGCCGGCCGCGGTGGCAGCTGCTGCGGTGGCGGCTGTAGTAGCTGCTGTAGCGGCTTGTTCGACTGCCCCGCCGCCTCTTCCCCACGCTTTGCACCGGCACCACCACCACCACCACCCGCAGGGGCAGCAGGACTAGGGCCAGCGGCCGCAGTGGCGCCCGGGGCCGCCGCGCCCCCCGCCCCCCGTGCCCCCGCAGCCCTCTGCGGGACCGGAGCAGGGGCAGGAGAAGCAGCAGAGGCAGGGGCAGAGGCAGGTGCAAGGGCAGCAGCTGTGGTGGAGGGTTGTCGTGTGGAGGTGGGTGGTGGTGGTGGTGGTGGCGGTGGCGGAGATGCGGCGCGCTTGCGAGACTTGGTGGTGGTGGCAGCAGCAGCGGCAGCAGAAGGCTTGGTAGGCTGCTCTCCTCTCGCTGCCTGCGCTTGTTTCGCTGCCTGCGCGGGTTTCGCTGCCTGCGCTGGCTTAGCCGGCTGTGCTGGCTTAGCCGGTTGCGCTGGTTTCGGCGCAGGTGCTACGGGTGCCGCTCGTGCTGCTGCCGTTGGGGAGGAGCGGGCGGGCGGCGGGGAGATGTTGTAAACGGCGTGGACGGGAAATGCAAATAAAAGCGGAGCCGAGGAAAGCAGGGGTGGGGGAAAAGAAATTCCAAAATGTGGTGTGATAATGATAAGGATGGAGAGGCAGATGGTGAATCGTGTAGGTTACTTCTGTACACATACACATACACGCATACACAGCCCCCTCCTCAGCTTCACTTGTCGCTTCTTTTCTCCCTCCTCAACCCTCCCTACCTTTAGCCGCCTTGCCGCTACCCTTGCCGCCTGCCGCAGCCGACGGAGGAAGCCCCAAGTACGGCAGCTGCGCGCAGTATGGCACGACAGCGGAAGCCACCTCCTTTTAAGTACGGCAACAACAAGCAGGGTACGGCAGCTGCGTGCACGACAGCGACAGAGAGGCCTCTATCTAAAGTACAGCAACCCATGCGACCCGTTTTGAGGCACAGGCGTTGGTGCAAGCAAGGGAACCAGTGTGCAGTTGAGCGGAAACAAGAGCAAACAGTTGGGATAGGTTCGCATGTGAACCGCAAGTACAAGCAAGGGAACCAGTGTGTGTCAGCATGCCATGCAGCGCTTTCACCGCCCCGTCTCTCAGCCCCCTTCCAGCCTCTCTCTCTCATCCCGCCTCACCCCCCTCAGCCCCCCGCTTCCCCCCAGCCCTATCTCACCAGCTCCATGTTGGGCAGCACCTCGGGTTGCGACCCGCGGGTCGGCGGCTCCTGCTCGAAGTGCGCAAAGGCGACCAGCAGGAACAGCGAGTCGCGGCTGTCGTCCACATCGTACTTGACCTGGGGTTGGGGTAGGGGGGTGGGGTGGAGGTGGGGTAGGATGTGGGTGGGGGCATGACGATGTGGTGTGTATGATGGGGGGTTATGACGGGATGTTAGGACGTGCTAACACGTCCTAACCGCCACTCCACGCACCACCGTCCTAACCACCCCGCACCAGGCCCCCGCACCACACACCCCACCACCCCCCCACACACCCCACCGCGCCCCCCCCACCTGCATAACGCCCGTCTCCGTGTTGCACTGAAGCACCTTGGCGCGGTACCACACGCCCAGCTCCCGCCGCGACAGCGACCCGGGCGCCCAGCTGCGACCCAGGCCCGCGTACTCGCGTGACCCGGGGGTCGGTATGGGCTGGTCGTACCAGTAGACCTGGTGGGGGAAGGGGGCGTGGTGGGGGGAAGCGGTGTGAGAGGGGGAAAAGAGAAATCCCAAGGTGTTTAATGATGCTGAGAAGGGGGGGTGAGTGAGCGAGTGGCTGCATGAACCCAGCCGGGTCCTCACCTGCTCTCACCCTGCCCACCTGCGTGCTGTACAATAGCACACAGCCCGCTAGGTAAGTACCCATAAGCACCCACCCACCAATCCACGGGTAACCTCTTCGCTCCCTTTTTCCATGGGTTCTTGTACCGGCAGCCGCCCACGCAACACTTTACCCACCACCGACCCACATGGCTAGGTACGCCGACCCGCCCGCCGACTCCTCCTCCCCCGTGGCTTCCTATGGTATGGTATGGTCTTTGACCCCCCCCCCAACCCCACCCACCCAGAATGACGCCCCCTTCAGCTCCTTGTTGCCCCCCTGCGCCACCAGTGTCTGACTCAGCAGCTGCCGGAGCGGGATCTGGGGTGGGGGGGGCAGGGGCAGGGGCAGGGGCAGGGGGCAAAAAGGAAGAAACTGACGAGCTGTACGACAAGGCTGGGCTCAAACATGGTAGCCGGCCCATCCCGCCCTGGGTTTGAGGGAGAGCGCAGAGAGGAGGAGCGCCGTGGTGGGTTGTGGGGTAGGGGTTGAATAAGGATGAAGATTCCGCATTAGGGGTCGGGGTGAGGGAAAGAAAGGTGTGTAGTTGAGTAGGACAAGAGCAAGCAGTTGGGAGAGGGAAAGAAAGGTGTGTGCTAAGCGCATGGAAGCGTGTAAGCCTGTCTCAACCGCGTGACAGGGGCAACATGGGGGCGGGGGGGGCTAGTAAATGTAGTAAGGCTAGCTGGGTGAGGTGTGGAGCTCAGGACGCACCCACCTGTTTAGGCAACACGCTGCTGCCCACCCGCACCACCATGGCCTGCTCCATGCACAGCTCATCCACGGGGTCCGACTCCTCGTCTTCATCCTCGTCATCATCCTCGTTCTCGTACTGCGCCAGGTCCTCCCCCCTGCCGTACACCGGGAGCAGCATGTGCGGGCATGCGGGCGGGAGGGGGAGGGGGGTTCCGTGGGGGGTTTGCACGGGGGGAATGCGTGCTCCGGGCCGTTAGAGGGCCGAGGGAGCAGGAACCTGAAGCGCGAGCTGCCTGTGCGAGTTACCTGCATATCGCCATGCCCCATGCGTCGCCCCCAGGGCAGGGCCCTGCACCCCGGCGTGGGAGGCTGCCATGCATGCAAGCGGCGCATGGAGCACCTCCTGGCATCCATCCATCCTGCCCCGCCCCGCTTCCCCCTCCTCCTCCTCCTCCCCAACCCCGCCCCCTCCTCCCCCCCCACACACACACCTGCAGTGCTCCACCACCCACGCATCCAGCGCCATCTGTCTCGACCCCTCCGGGTGCTCCGCATCCGCCCCCCCGCACGTGCACCATACCATGATGGTGTTGGTGGCGGCGCGGTGGCCTGGGTGGGGGATGGGTGAGGTGGGGGCCGGGGGGTGGGGGGGGTTGTGAGTGGCATGGGTGTGGGGATGAGTGAGGTGGGGGGCGTAGAGCACAGCAGCAGCAGAAGCAGCAGCAGCAGCACAGGTAGGAATAGAAGCTGGGAGAGGGGAGAGCGTCTTCATGCACCTCCCCTCGCCCCTGCCTCCCTGCCCTGCCCCCCTCCCCTCCCCAGGGCTCTCACCCCCTAGCAGCAGGCAGCGCTTGTCACCGCACGCCAGCTCCACTCGGGGCACCCAGCGGGCGGGGGCCAGGATTTTCTGAGGAGGGAAGTGGGGGGAGGGGGGGAGGCAGGGCCGGTGGTGTTGGTGGCGGTGGTGTGACAAAGAACACTGGCGGTGGGTATAGTGGTGGTGGTGGCAGTGGGGGAGGGAAGGGAAGGGAAGGGAAGGGAGGGGCATGCAGGCGGGGTGCGTATTCCCCCCCAACGTACTCCACCCCCACCTTGAGTGGGTGTGAGTGGGTGAGCTAGAGCTAGAGGTGTGCGTGTGAGCTGTGCTCAATGTGAGCAGGTGGTGGAAAGGTTGGGGCAAGGTACTTTTGAGTGGAAGGGTCGCACCGGATGCGTTTTATGAACCATGGGTCGAAGCTTCGAATTCGAGTGACAACATGCAAGCCTTGTGGGCTGGAGACTATGCTCTAAGCATGAAAGCCATGTTAATGTTAAGCGCGTAGTTAAATCATAATTAGGCATGCCTAGGGCGCTTACTGAGGGCAAACACCCATTGAGATTGGCAACAACACAGTACCCTTAGGTTCGGCCGAAAGCTATCTATGATATTCATTGCACTCATTTCGGGCCTTCGAAACAGAATCTTTTCCAGCCCAGCCTATGAACATACTTATGCTGGTCCCGATGGACCAGCAAGAAGGCAAATAACCCATACCTCATCATCTTTAATGACCACTTTCAGCTTTGCAAGCTCATCCTCTAAACCAAGAGCATCCGCCATGCCTGCTAAGAAAGCTATTCCAAGGACGGTTATAACAGTCTAGACTGTCGCAACTAAGACCAGAAGAGCGCTTTCCATCCTTACTGATATTGTGAAGTACATGCAAATGTAAACCTTGCTTCCATGGCAGAGTGCTTCTCGCTTTCCGTTTGCGGACCCTGTACGAACTCCAGGAGGGCGGCGGACTTCTCTTGAGACCTTTCCTATCGGGCACTTTCAGTTAGAAGACTACCAGCGTTACCAGGGATCACATATTGACTGGCTTTGTAGTTAGAAGGCGGTCTGCCTGCAACGCCAAACGATCTTCCAGGGCAGGCGCTAGCCTCCATCGACTTTGAGCCCTTCTTCAAACTCTTCTATACAAGCAAGAGGCCTGAGCCCCATTCCCGCCCCTCCCTCCCCACCCCGCCCCCACCCTCCCATCCCGCCCGCCCGTCCCCGCCCTACCCTTCCTTCTGCCCATTTCTATTGTCCTCCCGAGCAGACAGTGCTTAGGGCTACTGGACACTGAGTTTTGCGCTTAGGCGAAGCACTCTTCTTCGTTCTTAAATTTTGGTCAGCATCAACCAGCCAAAATGTCGGACCAGGAGGGTGCTCCAGCAGCAGTTCAAGAAGAACAGCCGCCTCAGGAACAGCCACAGGAGCAGCCGGAGACAGCTCCCAGCGCTCCTGATGCTGCAGGCGATGACTTGGCCCTGCCTCCTCCTCCTCCCAAGCCCGCAGCTGACAGCAAGGAGCGTGGTCGTGCAAGCTCACGTGAGCGCAAGCGCCGCAGCAGCCGCAGCCGCTCTCGTGACAAGACTGAGAAGAGGCGATCCCGATCCCGCAGCACATCTCGCGACCGCCGTCGCGGCAAGGACCGTTCCCGCTCGCGCGAGCGCGCTAACAAGGACCGTTCTCGATCACGTGAACGCCGCCGGCGCAGCAGCCGCGAGCGCAGCGGCCGCTCGCGTTCTCGCTCACGCGATCGCACGGGTGCAGCCAAGCGCTCTCGTTCCCGTGAGCGCCGGCGGTCTCGGTCACGCGAGCGCAGCCGGCGTGACAGCCGCAGCAGCGAGCGCGGCGCCAACACCATCCCCGGCCTGGGCGGCCCGCTTCCCCCTCCCCCTCCTCTTCCCGACCACCTAGCGGGCGGCCCCCTGCCCGGTCCGCCCGGCCTGCCCGGCTCCTCCGTCCCGCCCAACATCGCCGCGCTGCAGGCCCAGCAAGCTCTCCAAGCCCAGCAAGCCCTGCAGGCCCAGCTCCAGGCTCAGCAGGCCCAGCAAGCCCTGCAAGCCCAAGTCCAGCTCCTCACCGCACAGGCCAACTCGGCAGCCATGCTGGGCGACCGCCGCGCGCGCGAAATCTTTGTGGGCAACCTCAACCGCGGCCTGGTGTCCGCGGAAATGCTGCGCGAGCTCTTCAACGCCGTACTCGCCAACATGGTGCCCGACCCCATGGTCAACCCGCCGGTCATCACGGCGCGTCTGGATTCCTCCGGCAAGTACGGCTTTGTGGAGCTGCGGTCTCCGGAGCTGGCTGCTGCCGCCACGCAGCTGCACAAGATGGAGCTGTGCGGCAAGCCCATGACGGTGGAGCGCGCCAAGGGCTACACGGACAGCCACTCGCACCTCAACACGGCGGCGCAGAAGATGCAGCTGGCGCAGGTGGGGAAGAGGAAGCGGGCGGGAAGGGCGGGGGAATGGGGAAGGAATGGGAGGGAGGGAGAGGGGCGAGCGCAGATGGAGGGAAAGGGGGAAGGGGCGGTCCCGGAAGAGCGACCATGAAATATGTATGAGGGAAACATGGGACAGGTTCAACCGCACGGGGTTGCTACTACGCAACAAACCCTGCGTGTTCGCGAAGCCGCATAGCCAGCCAGCCAAGCACGGGCATGGAACCAGCCCCTTTCTCGTTGCTGGTTATGACTCCCCTTCCCCCCGCCCTCCCCACCCTCGTCCCTCCTTCTCCCTTCCCTTCCGTCTCCCCTCCCTCCCACCCGTTTTGCCTCTGCCCCGATGCCCTCCCTCGTAACTAGCACCCCCAGGCCTTCGGGCAGCTGCAGACGCATGCGAGGCCGCTGTGCCGGGCAGCCCGCCCTGCGTTGGCGTTGCGCTCCCCTCGCGCCCAGCGCCGCGCTGCGTTAGCATGCATGTCCAGAGTTGTCCCTTTTCCGGCGCATTAGGCTACCTCCTTAGCCCTCCTCCATCCACCGGGCATTTATAGTGCCCTCCCTCGGTCCTCTTGCACTCAAGGCAAACTAACCCTTCAGTCGTCTGCACCACCCCTGCATGCTACCTCCTCACCTTCCGCCCACCTCGCATGTCTCATCCCTTTCTCTCCGTTTCTGTCTTGCCTTCCAACCCCCAACAGGCCTTTGCGCAGCAGCTGGGCGGAGCCGCAGTCCCCGTCGCTGCCGCCGCCGCACCCATGGCCGTCCCCGTCCCCACCGCCCCCATCTCCCTCACCAACCACGCCCCCGTCCTGGGCATGAACCCCGCCCCCGTTGCTGCCGGCGCCGGCGCCGGTGCCCCCACCACCGTCGTCCTGCTGGAAAACGTGATGAACGTGGGCGCGATTCGGAACGACCAGGAGCGCCGGGAGCTGCAAACGGACGTGTATCAGGAGGCGTCCAAGTTCGGAACCCTGACGGGCATCACCATCCCCGTGCCGCCGCCGCATGTGCCCGACACCGAGGCCTGCCGCGTGTACCTCAAGTACACCACTCCCGTGGATGCACAGCGCTGCCAGCAGACCATGGAGGGTCGCATGTTTGATGACAACAAGGTGCGCGCCGTGTTTGTGTCGGAGACGGACTTTTACCGGGCGCAGGCCGGAGAGTGGCTGCCGAGCACTGCTGCCGCTGCGCTGCCTGGCTACCCGCGTTAAGAGGATGTGGGGGCGGAGAAAGAGACTAGGGGTACTGGGCACTGGTGTTGAGGTGGGGGGTTTGAAGGGAGGCGGGGTATGGGTTTTTTGAGTGCCGGTGGGTGGGATAAGGAAGGAGGGGTGGTGGGGGTTGATGCGGATGGATGGTGAGGGGAGAAGCAAGACGACTTGGGAGTGGCGAGGGAGCAGAAGAATGTGTGGTCGCAGGAATGAAGTGTCCGCTTCCATTGTTGCAGTTTGGGCGGTAAGGAAGGAGGCACGCAACTCGCCGAACCCGTTGAGGGAAGGGGAATGGGCGACCGGAAGTCGGCTGCTTAGATTCCCGAAAGCCTTTTCATTTTGGCAGCGCCCGCTTGGAACGGAGCAGGCCGTCGTTTCGGGGTCCTGCACCGTCCGTGCGGCTCAGATGTTTGTTGTCCGAAACAGACCTGCCCTTGGCAGTCGTGCGCACGTTTGCAGCTCGTCTAGTAGCACAGCTGCTGTAGCAGTGGGGCTGATGGGAGGTGAGTTGCGCTGAGGTCGACTAACAACGATAAGTCGTCAGTCGACACTGTTTGGTTGCACTACGGATTGGCTTGGCGGAAGAATCACAGCGTTTGTAACTGTGGACGACAATTTATTTCGGTTGTTTACCCCTGGCCCCTGCCTGGCTTACAACAAACACTCCAGCAGGTTTTTAAGTACTCAGTACTCCTGGGGTAAGCCAGGAGTACTGCCATGCACGTCAGCTAGCGGGTTATTGGGTATGTGACTTCACACGGGCGTGCATGCCCCTGGAGATGCCCCTGGATGCCCCAGCAGAGCGGCGTATAATACTTGGCGTAGGCAGGTATGCCTCTCACTAAATACAGCGTCTTCCTGGAAATGCAACGTTTACATCAGCCCCGTCGTAGTCTTTCACCAACATAAATCAACCATATAATATCCCCCCCGCCTGCTTCATGCAATAGAAACAACTCTTTCCATGTATCCGTGAACGCCGTCTTAAGCTCTTAACGCACACTCTTAGCCACAGCAACCGCTAACCAAGCTAACCGCTGTGCCATGTGTCCTCACACTCCTCAGCTACCCACTGCAGTACCGCAGTCACATTCAGACAGTCACAATGACCGCGGGGTTGGTAGTACCCCTTCAATAAGCCCATAAGCCAATGCCAATGTTATGTGCAATCCTCTAATTAAAGATCTCAATGCGAGGCCTTAGCAGGCCCCCCCTTTGGTTACATCCGCCGTATCGGTACGGAACCGTTACGGGACTTCTTAGAGCGCCCTGCAGCGGCGGCAGCACCAGCAACAGCAGCGACACCCGCATTAGCGGCGGGCCCGTTTCCGCCGACGGCAGGATCAGCGCACTCCACCTGCATATAGGGCAGCAGAGAAAGCGAAGAAACGGGCGCGATCCGTGACGTGGACCATCAAGTCAAGTCATCAAGCGACCCACGGGTCTCGAAACCCTCCACGCACTCACTTCCTCCCCCCCCCATCCCAACACGCCATAACTACTCAAAACACCGCGCGCAAACATTAACCCAACCCAGCCTGCTTGCTTTTTTCCCTCCCCGCACCCTTCTAATCATCACCACCCCGGTATCATCACCTTGGTTCCACTCGCGCCCCTCGACACGCGAACCAGTCCATCGCACGCATTCTGGAAGGCCGCGTTGTGCGTCACCGCCAGCACCTGACACCCTCCGCCACCTCCTCCACCGCCGCCGCCGCCGCCACCTCCTCCTCCGCTGCTGCTGTTACGGTGCGCCAGCTGACGCAGCAGCGCCGCCACCGCCGCTTGGTTGTGCTCGTCCAACGCCGCGTCGACCTCATCCAGTACGAACAAACCGCCGCCACAACCGCCACAACCGCTGTTGACGGCGCCGCCACCGCCGCCAAGGTTGGCGCTGACGCCTGCGTCGGCAGCCCCGGCACTGCTGTTGCCTCCGCCCGTGCTGCCGTTGACAGCTAGCGCCAGGCCCAGGAGGAATGCCAGGGACACCAGTGTGCGCTGGCCGCCTGGGGGGGCAGGTTGGGGAGGAGGAGGCAGGGAGGAGGAGGTTGGCGGAGGCGTGGAGGGGCAGGTTGGCGGAGGCATGGGGAGGCAGGGAGGAGGAGGTTGGGGGAGGCAGGTTGGGGCAGGTTGGGGCATGGAGATTGATGCGGACGGGAAAACACTAATTGAGGAATGCAGCAACTGGAGTCCCAATCCCGTATTCCGACGCGGAGGCAGGCAGGGGGGCGAGGTAACTGAACCTCGTAAGAAGCGCGGCCGAGGGGGCTGTTGTCTGAATATGACAGCTTCTTAGGAGCGGCGGCATGAGAAGCGACTTTTGTTTAGCCCACCGGGTTCGAGAAAGGGTACGGTAACAGCAGCAGGAGTGTGTTTGGAGGAGGCGTGGAGAAGGAGGGTTTGCACTCGTCAACGCCCGCCCTCCCGCCTACCTGACAACTGCCCCAGCTCCTGACTCCACTCCTCACCACCGCCACCACCACCTCCACCACCATCGCCCCCAACCCGCCGCCTCCGGAACCGCACCACCACTCCCCGGCTGGGGCAGCCCTCGGGGGCCGCCAGGGACATGTCCATGCCCGGCAGCAGGCGGGAACACAGGGAGATGAAGCGGCGTCGTACGGCTCGGAATACGGCAGTGTTGGCCGACAGGACCTGATCCGCGGACTGCTCGATGGCGGCCTGTCGTACACGCATCGGGGTGTTGGGGGGGGGGGAGTTTGGGGGGAGTGGGGGCGGAGTTGGTTGGTCGTTGGAGAGGCGCGGCCCAACCGTTGTGTGTGGGGGAGAGGGAGAGAGCAGAGAGAGAGGGAGCGGACATTGGGGTGCATGCAAGCAAGCATGCATGCAGAATGGGATTTGGGGGCAATGCAAGGAGGTGGGTGCACGCAAGCAGGGAGGGGTAGGTTAATGCCCCATGCAAGGCCCCCCTTACTCTTTTCCATCTCCCTCCCTCCCTGCAGCCCTCCCTCCCGGAAGCCCTCCCTGTCGCCCCCACCCACCTGCAGCATGTTGGCTGCCCCCTCCAGGCTGGCTGCCCGGCCCTGCAGCACCCGCACCGCCGCCACCCGCTCTTGGAAGTGCAGCAGCTGCGCGGGGGGAACCTGGGGTGGCGGGAGGAGGGGTAAGGGAGATAACAATACAATTAATAGGCGCAGCAACTGGAGTCCCAATTCCATATCCTGACTGATGCAGTTAGGAGGTGGGGCAGAAGGAAGGTACAGAGAGCCCACCCCACTCATCCTCAAGCCTCAACCAAACACACACAACACGCATCCGCCCACCTGGCACCCCTCCAGCTTGCTTCGCTCGACTCGAAGGGACTTCAACTGCCCTCGCAAGGCAGCCGTCCACGTCTCCGCCCGCACCGCCGCCGCCTCCGCAGCCACCTCCTGCCCCGCATCCCTTCCGCCGCTGCCTCCGCCACCGCCGGCGCCGGCGGCGGAGGCTGCCCTCCCCGCTACCTCAACCTCGCTAGCGCCGCCGCCGCCGCTCCCGCCGCCGTCGGCGGCGCTACTGCCGTACTCTTGAAGTACGACATCCCGTTCCCGTACGGCTCGTTGCAGTACGGCACGCCGCGCCGCCAGCGCCTCCTGGCCTTGTCGGAGCCTAGCGGAGCGGACCCGCAGCTGCGTCGCCAGGTCGCTGGTTCGAACCCGGGCGGCTTCCAGCTTGGATTCTAGCTCTTGCCGGCGCCGGGCTAGGGCCTCTTCTGCCGCTCGCGTCTCGGACAGTCGACACTCCATGTCCTGAATGGAAGAAGTGCAAGGCGGAAACGGCTCTCGACGGGTTTTGACGCGCCTGTGAAAGGTACCGGTACTGCATGTGCACACTATTGATACCGCTAGAACGACTCACCCGCACAACTGCTTTTAGTTCCCTGACGCGACTCTCCGCCTCCTCCTCCGCCACCACTGTCGCCGCACGCGCCTCCGCTGCCTCTGCTTCCGCCTCCGCCTCCTCCACCGCCGCCTCCGCCACCTGCCTCGCCTCCGCCAGCTCCTCCGCTCGCGCCGCCTCCGCCGCCACCTCCGTCGCTAGATCCTCACTCGCTTGCCGTACATTGCCGCCGCCACCAATACGATACGCAGCGCCGCTGCCGCCTCCGCCGCTGGCACCTCCGTCACCGGTAATCCTCTCTAGGTCAAGTTGGTGCCGTTCCGCTGCTGCGACGGCGGCGGTGGCGGCACTTGCGGCTGCAGCGCGGGCTTGTTGCGCCGCCGCCAGCTGCTGATGCTGGAAGCAGACGCGACGCTGGCTGGCCTACAGCACACCAATATGGTTAATACGGTCAAAGGGTTAAAGGCTGGCAAGAAGGTGTACTTAAATTCTGGTAAATACCCTACCCGCAGTTGCTCCTCCAGAGCAGCCGCCTCCGCAGCAGCCGCCTCCGCCGCTGTGCGCCGCCGCTCCGCCCCCTGTACGGCACGCTGCCGCCGTGCTAGCCGAACCTGCGAAGCACAGTTGTTGTCATACCGTTAACCTCCTATTTCTCGTTTTCCTCGTGATCCTAGCCCCTGTTCCTAGCCCATGATCCTATAGCCCGTCCTCCTAGCTCGTATCAGAGCTATCAGCGCTACAGTGTACATGTACCGTACACTCCCGTACATACCTGCAGCCTGCCCTCCACCCCCGCTAGTTCCCCCAGCTCCCATAACCGCTCCAACAGCTGTCGGCCCGCGGCGGCGGGGGAGGAGCCACCGCCGTCCCAGCCGCCCGTCAGCACACCCCTGTAGAACACGGGGCCCGGAAAACACACACGGAGCAGGACCAGGCAGGGAGACGCAAGGTAACGGGCAACGGGTATGTTCGGGACACACGTAGCCGACACGAGATCGGCGTCTCAAGGACCAGCACGACCCATGGGTCTGTCCCCCCATCATGAATCGCTCACGCACGCACCGGTGGCTGACGCTGCCCGCTAGGGTCACACTGGACAGTCCGAATCGCGCCGCGAGAGCCGCTGCGGCCGCATCGTCCGCCGCCACTAGGTGCCGACCGAAGGCGCGCAGCAGCGCGGGACGGACCCGTGGGTCGTCGCTGTGGATGAGATCCGAAGGCAGCCAGCACTGCAGGCCTGTGGGTGGGTTAACAAAGAAGAAAGGTATAATATACGACAACCATGTACAGCAGGCCCAAGGGGCTGTGTGTGTTAATCCCGCGACGCCTAACCGGCTTCACTCTTATCCTCAGTCTCGTTCTCACCCTCAGCTTCAAGCTCCCGTTGAGCCCTCCTCTGAGCCCCACTCAGATCGGAAACCCGCAGTCGGTCCAACGGCCAGATGCGCAGCTTGCCGCCTCCTCCTCCTCCTCCTGCGCCACCGCCGCCGCCAGCAACATTGCCGTACATTCCACCTCCGCCGCCTGCCGCCGCCGCCGCCGCGCCGCGTGGGTCGTCTGCCAGTCGCGCCGCCGCTGCCGCCGTGTCGCAAACAACCACCTGTAACGACCCGCCGGCAATAACGGAGAGCGCGTGAAGGTACGGAGGCCAGGGCCGTACGGCCCAACCGCCGCCACTCTCTTCTTCGTCATCCTCGTCATTCTCATTGTCGTACTGGGCCATACCAGTATCCTTGTTGGCAGTCGAAGGCGCCGTCGGCGGCGTAAAAGACAAGCATTGGTAGAGACGTCGGTACTGCTGCTGTTGGTGCGTTTGGTGCGTTTGGTGCGTTTGGTGCTGCCATGCCTGTTGACCTGCATTTGCTGGCGGCGGCGGCGGCGGCGGCAACTGTAGTGAGCGTCGCAGCGCCTCCGACCGCACCCGGACCTCCGCCAGCTGTCGCTGCGTCGCTCGTACGGCAGAAGCGGCGTCATCAGCGGCGGCAACAGCAGCCTCCGCCGCCTCCGCTGCAGCGGCGGCGCCAGCGGAGGCCGCTGCCACCAAGGCGTCCGGAGTGCCGCCAGCATCAGGCCCTTCCGCCGTCGCTGCCGCCGCACCCGCCGCTGCTGCTTCCCCGCTCCTAAGCCGGCCGGTAAAACGCGAGGAACGACATACCAGCCTGCGAGATAAAGTACCTGTTAGACATCAGCGAGCAGGCATGAGGAGCAGATAGGTAGATACCAGATACGGCAAGGAAACGACTCACCTGTCGACCTCGGCTCTCGCCTCCGCCAGCTGCCCCTCCGCCTGCCGTACAGCCGCCTCCGTCGCCGCTAGCCGCTCGCGCTGCCGTACAGCCACCTCCGCTGCCTCCGCCGCCTCCGCCGCGACATGCTGTACGTACTGGGCGGCAGCTGCGCAGGAGCGACATCGCGGCATGCATGGGGGGGAAGTTAGCAACGACCAGCAACGACTATGGGTTAACTGGCAACTATTGGTATGTCGCGAACACATAAATTAATTACACCTCTCTTTTCCTTCCTTTCCCTCAACGCCCGTTACGTCACTTCACCGTACTACCCGCCTCCTTTCCCTCAACGCCCCTTACTTCACTTCACCGTACTACCCGCCCCCGAACCCCACGATCTCCCAACCCCAAGCCCCCAACCCCAAACCGCCCACCTACCCGCCTCCGCATCCGCAGTCGCCTCCATCTCCTCCAACAGAGCCCCCAGCTCCGCATGACGCTCGGAAGCCGCCTCGGCGGCCGCCGCTGCTGCCGCCGCCGTCGCCTCCGCCGCCATACGACGCTGCTGCGCCTCCGCCGCCGCCGCCCGCAGCGACCGAGCCGACACCAGCTGATGCTCCCAGAGCCGTACCTGGGAGTGGTGCGTTTGAAGGGTGAGCGGTGGTGGGGTTGGCGAAAAAATAATGTTGGCATGGGTTGGGCTCGGTAGCGGCTCCATAGCGGTTGCATGTGTACGGATTACAGTTAGTGGCAGGTGGCCGTAGCGCCGTACACACCCATGCATTCTCAAATTGCCGTATAAATGCCGTACAAAAGCCGTTTACCTTTTCCACTTCCACAGCTAGCCGCTGCTCCAGCACAGCAGAAGAAACCACTGCCGCCGCTGCCTCCTCCGCACCCGCACACGCCGACGGATGCTGTTGTACGGCACCGCCACCGCCGCCACCATCTGCCGTTCCACCGCCATCAATAGCGGCAGCGACACCCAGGGCGGCAGCAGCGGGTTGACCTCCCCGCCGCCGCCGCGCTGCCGCCGTACGACCGAAAGCACCAGCAGCAGCAGCAGCTGTTGCCGCCGCTGGTGCCGCTGGCGCCGTCACGGCCACCGCCGTCCCCGTCCCAGCAGCAGCAGTACCAGCAGCTGCAGCTGCAGCTGCTACTGCTGTGATCTGCAGAAGCTCCCGCATCAGTTGCTGCTTCTCCGCCTCCGCCTCAGCAGCTTCCGACTCCAGGGCCGCTAGGGCCGCCTGTACGATGGGGCCCCAGGTAGGTGTAGCAGTTAGGTGTTAATTAGGTGTTAGTTAGGTGTAGTTAGGTGTAGCAGTAGCAGTTAGGCACAGGAGCAACTACACCGTACCAACGGCCTTATCACCCGCAACCAACCACTGGCCGAACGATAGATAGCAACCTTGGATACGACAAGCAAGTGGGAAGCAAGTGTATCATACGACACAATGGCAGCAAATGTGCGCCCCCATCACTCCCACCTGCTCTTGTTGCTCCTGGCCGAGCCGCTCCTCTAGCTCCCGCTGCGGGGCAGCAGCGGGGCAGGCAATGGGAGTGCTTGCAAAACAGCGAACCATCGGGTCCCATCATCGGGGACACTGGGTCCTATTGGGGGGGACATCTTGTTGTCCACATGCATAAAAAAATTCAAGAGCGTGTCGTACTGCCGCATACCGGTACCTGCAGCTGCCGTACCCATCTCTCCAGTGACGCCCCCAGCTGCCCCCCCGCCGCCGCCACCTCCAACTCCAGGGAGGCGAGGCGGGAGGCAGCGGCCAGCCGGGCCTCGTCATCTCGTACGGCGGATTGCTGGGTGGAATGGAGAGGGTCGGTGAAAAGTGGGACTTGGAAGTACAGGTAAGGAATATAGTAGACACAAAACAAAACTATGAAACCATCCACGCCATGCAAAGTCATCCGAAGTCAAGGCTGCCTCCTTACAACTGCCCCTTCCCCCAGGCCCCCCCTTTGCCCCTTTTCCCCCTTTGCTCCCCAGATACTTGTAACCCCACACACACACATCACGCCGCCGCTGTCCGCCCCCACCCCACCAGCTTCTCCAGGCTCTCCCGGATGCCCCGCATCGACCCACGGGTCGCCGCCAGTTCCTGACGTCCGCGAGCCGTCTCCGCGCGCCACCGCACCAGCCCGCTGGCTGACCCCACCAGGCCAGCCAGAGTGGCGGGGTCTGCAGCCAGGCGGCAGCAGCAGCGGCGGCAGTGGGGAGCAGCGGGATGAAGTAGTGGGGGCAGTGGGGGCAGTGAGATAAAAGTAATGGACATACGGCAGCAGCGGCAGCAGAGGGAACAGCAGGAGCAGCGGAGCGTGGTCAAAGAAGCGGCAACGCTCTGCTGGTGCGGTGTCGTGGCCATGTGACCGCACATGTGGCATTCCATCCCGCATGTGTATCGCACGCGCCCAGCATGCCACACCGCACAGAACCACACCACACCGCAGCAGCAGCAGCACCGCAGCAGCAGCACCGGCCGCAGCAGCAGCAGCAGCAGCAGCAGCTGCCCCCTACCGTTGTTATCTGCCAGCGCGGTCACATGCGCCTGACGAATGACGCGGGAGGCGTTGGAGCCGTCCACGGACAGGCCCCGCTGAGCCAGGAAGTCCTGAACAGGCAAGGTGATGGGATCAATGAGATGATGATGGTGAGCGGTGGGGTAGCCGGGTATGTAGCTACCGGCATGGCGGCTTCTCAACCCAGCGGCTTAACGATGGTAGTCTGATGAGTTGGGTTGGTGGTTTATCGGTTTTCAGCTACCAGCCCCCGTCGACCTCTCTTCATCCACGCAGCCCATGTCACCCATACCTTGACCTGCTGTGCGGTCTTGCTGCGGCCATCCAGCTGGAACACCCGAGTGGCGCCGTCGGGAGCCAGGGCGGCGCGCAACACATGGTGCTGGAGTGGCTGGGGTGGCTGCTGCTGCTGCTGCTGCTGCTGGCGGCCGGCTGCAGAGGCGGAGGCGGGGGTGAACCTGCCGGCGGGGCCCCTGCTGGCGGCGGCGGCAGCAGCAGGTGCGGGTGGCGGTGGTGGGGTGCGGCTGATGGTGAGCTCCACCTCACAGGGCTGCATGGGGGGCAGGGAGGGAGGGAGGAAACGGAGGAGGGCGGGGTACGAGAGGACGTCGGGGAGGTGCGGGAGCTGTGGCCGCAGCGGGGCTCCGGCGGTGTGAGCAGCAAGGTAAGCCCTGTGGCATATCATCAAGAAAGCGGAAGGGGGAAGAAGGGGCCCTCCAGCTCCAGCCGCTTCCCAGCTCCCGGTTTCTCCCCGCCCCCTGGCCCCTTACAACCAAACAACGACCCGCGGGTCGGCACAGAGCCCCCGCCGCGCGCGCACCCACCGAATCCGCCGCATCACTGCTGGCCAGCTCCCGCAACGTCCGCGCTCTGAGCGCCCCCGCACTCGCGCCACCCGCAAACAATACCGCCTCTAGCAGATTGCTTTTACCGCTGCCATTGGGTCCCACGATGCCGACCAGGTGGGGATTGGGGATGCTCGCGAGCTCCCATTCCGGGCCGAAGGATTTGAAGCCGCGAACGCGAATTGCGGAGATGTGCCAGTGGGTTCCGGATGGTGGTGGAGATGGTGAGGAAGCGTTGGTTTTTGTAGTCGCGGCTTTGCTTGGGAGAGGCTGTCGATTTTCGGCAGGAAGGGGAGGAGGAGCTGCTGCTGCTGATGGCGCTGCTCGCGAGCCCGAGCCACGCGGCGCTGTTCGTAACATGAAGAAAACTTGGAGGATCCACGAACGCTATTGCAACCTGTTTGACACTTTCGACAATGTGGAGCAAAAGGCAGGAAGGAAAACGAGAGGCGCTCTCGGATGAAGTTAAATGAGATTCCCTGCGGTACCCATTACACAAAAATCAGAAAGCAGCATTTATGCTGGCTATGTCTATACGCCGAAGCTACAGAAGAAAAGAAGCGACTTGGCTGCTGAGGCGATGTCTCCGCCTCGCGCCTAATCTTTGCATGGCAACTAACCAACTGCTCGGACCCCTGGTTCGCACGGTGTATGCCAAACCTCTTTCAACTCAAAAAGTAAATCACTCTGCAAGGAAGGCATAAATAAGGTTACATGTCAACATCTGGCCGTCCATCAACACAAGCGTAGCCCTGGGCTGTGCCCAATCAGCAGTCGCGCGCCAACATGTAATTATCTGTAACAGTTATGTCGACCGTAATGCTTCAGGATTGCTCAAATGGCTGCCTAGTCTTCACCAATTTACTGAGCAGCAACTTGTCCCAAATCCAGTCCGGAAGCAAGCGTCGCGCAGTCATCTCCCACTCCGCTCCGCCGTTTCCAATCAAGTATCTCGACTTGGGGTTCGCAGCCGTCAGCGCCTCTGCCACGATCTCAGCCACCTTGTCAGCGCTGATACCGTTCTCCTCAGCGGCTCGCGACAGCCCAATAATCTGCGAAAATACCGGTGTATGCAGAAAACAGAGCAGGGCGTCATCCAGCAAACCGGTACACGGCGAAAATCAGCGAATTACCCCAGGAAGATCCAAGGGGCTTCCGGCTAGTTGACCACCAGCCCTCACCCCCTGAACCCACATCCGTGAGCCAACCCCACCCACACCTTGCTTCATAGCCTCGTTCCATTGTCGCCCCAGCACCTTCGCTCCCTTAATCCCCTGCCCCGCTCCGCCCCGCTCCCCGCCCCCCTCCCTGCCGCAGCTCACCTCCTCGCACATCTCGCGGTACGGCCGCATGGCCTCCTCCTCCGCCGCCCCCATCGTCACCTCCGAGGCAGCCACGCTCTTATCCCAGATGGGCGTCCTCACGCCGCCGGCCTTGATGAGCGCCGTACGGATACCGAATTTGGGTCCCAACTCGTAACTAACAAGGTTAGGGTGAGGGATTGGGGTGGGGGATTGGAAAGAGGGTGCCGGGGGAGGGGGGAGCAGAGGAACACGTCACCTAGCGCAGGAGCGGCGGAAGCGCAGAAGCTGAGAACCTTCACTAGTCTTCACTTCACACTCCACATGCGCCTTCCCACAGCGAGGGAGGTGTACCCTGCATCCCTCACATATCGCCCATTATCTCCCACAGCGCATGCACCGTTACGCCCACGTCACGACAACAACTGCAACGGCACATGTCGTACACTGCCGTACACGAAACCGATATTTCCTGTCATCACATCCCATCTGCCGTACCGCATTACGTCCGACAGCGCCTCCAGTCCGAACTTGGAGGTGGCGTATGCTCCGAACAGCGGCAGTGCGATGCTTCCCGCGTAGGAGCCGATGTTGACGATGCGGCCGGGCTGCTGGTGCGGCTGCGTCTGTGCAGGGGTGGCGGCGAATGATTGTTGGATGCATGATTGGTTAATTGAAGGGATGACCGTTACAATGGTTGAAATGGCGGTGGTCATGGTGGTGGGATGGAGGGAGAAGTACCGGTAGTGTACGGTAGAACTTATAGGGGAAGGTAAGTAGACTGGTAGGTTGGGGACGCTTTAACATTGTGGTCAAGGGCTTGACAGCAGCAATCTCCTCCCCCAAGTCCGAAACCAAAGCCAAGGCTGCAACTTGGTCGCGACGCAACCTTTCAGGGATTACCGATCCCGGTAAGCACGCTTGCCTTGTCGTACCTTTTTCAGCAGCGGCAGCACCGCTTGCGTCACCCGCAGCACCCCCGTCACGTTGACCGACATCACATCTTCGAACGCCGCCAGGGGCATCAACTCCAGAGGCGCGAACAGCCCCTTACCCGCGTTGTTAACCAGGCCACTCAGGTTGCGACACCCGCTGTTGTTGCCGCTGTTGTTGCCGTTGCTGGTGCTGCTGCTCTGGTTGGCGTCAGAAGCCTCGTCACCAAAGCTGCCTGTTGCTGTTGTGGGTGGCGGTTGAGGACCTTGCAAGTGTTTCTTGAGCTCCGAAACCGCAGCGGCCGTACTCTCGTCGCTGGTGACGTCCAGCAGCAGGGGTACGATGGAGGGGTCCAGGGAGGTCAGGGCGGCACCGTCTGCCTCCCGCCGTACACCCGCAAACACCTGCCAGCCCTGTGGGGAGGAGTGTGTGAAAAGGGTGGCAGGGATGGCGGGTATGTGGGCAGAGGTCAACGGGCAGGAGGATGTATTAGGCGGCCATCTTATCCATGTTCGTTCAAATGACCGACGGCTTTGCTTTTTGGTACCCCAACCCTCCCCCTTGCGGATTAGAACCAAGGTTAGCAGTCGCCCATGGAACGTATACATGCCCACGTGCCATCCATACGAACATTTTTAGACAGATGCAAGGCCGTCGCCTTTCCAATTCCCGTAGATGCTCCTGTTATCAGAACTGCTGGCCGAGCATGCGGTGCCAGCGACGCACATGGTTGCAATGGCGACCGCGCTTGCCGACGACTAAACAGTTGGAGGGACATTTATATACCAACGTTATTTGCTTGTTTTCTATATGAATGAAAGAATTATCTAGCAGCGGACGACAGACGGGTGCAGTATGTTGCGTTTAAAGACGCCCCTAGCTTGCGTGCAGGTCGCTCCTGTGAAGGTACAGTAGTAAGGAGGACGAGTATGATCAGACAGTTGTAATATGCAAGTCGATGGCATTTGTTAACCTTACATGGCGATTTTCAGAGGGCGATGGAAGCTTTGTACGGCAGGGCCTGCCCTACATGCTGAGGGCAAGGCATGCTCGAGAAGCCTGACAGCACATGCTGTCAGACTGAGTAATCAACTCTCAGGGTGGGGAGCACCTCCTTCTATCCCGCGGTTTCTTTCCCGTAACACGTTACACAGGCTGGCTAGGAGTGCCGTAATGGCAAGTGTGCGGTCCACGGGGGTTAAGAGTTGGGACCCCGGCAACGCCAAGCATTCACAGGCCTAGTAAGCAAACCACTCTGTGAGGCTTTAAATGCGATCCAACCACGTGTTTTACACCACCACCGCAATACGCGCATGGTTGTGCGGCCAGTTTTGCCAACACCACACCCGGGGACATGCAGCTAAACAACGCACCAACACGCCTTCCGCCTTCGCAAGCAAACCTCGCCTCCTATCCAACCTTCTACCCCCACCACGTACATTCTAGGCGCCGACGTGACACGCAGCAGTCTACACCTGAAACTCACAATGGCAGGAAAAACCCTCCTATCTCACGCCTATCGTCACCTTGCCAGTGCTACTACCGGTACTGCCGTACACAGTACAACACATGTATCAAACAACATGCATGCCGTACAACGCCTCCAGAAGCTCTGCTCACCCCTGCTTCTGCTCATCCATCACCCCATCCCCCATCCCTTCCCTTCATCCCTCTCGTCCCTCATCCCTCATCGCGCCTTGAGTGCAGCCAGGAAGTGCAGCGGCGGCGAGCCGGCCGCCCCCACTGCCGCCTGCCTCACCGGGCCGTTGCCGTCCTTGTTGGATCGGAAGGTGGGCATCAGCTCGCGGCGCTGGGGGAAGGGGCTCTCGGAGAACCACCTGGAGGGGGCGTGAGCCGGGAGTGTAGGGTGGGGTGAGGTGGCGAGTTGAGGTTAGGTGTGAGTCAGGTTAAAACAAGCCCGGTGGAGTGGGCCCGGTAGGCCCCTCCGGCCACACATGATACCCGGCACGCCAACACACAAAGGAAGGGGCAAGTAACCCCCATGCATGCCCCCGCCCCCCCCTCTCCCGCGCCCTCCCTCCCGCCCCCCCTTTTCCCACCTGTGCTCCAGCGCCTCCCCCGCCGAGATGCGCTGCCGCGGGTCGTACGCCAGCAGCCGGGACAGCAGGTCGAAGCCCGCCTCCGTGAGGGTGGCGCCGCTGCCGAAGGAGGAGGTGAAGCGCTGACGCAGCTGACTGGGCTGCGGGCGCAACACGATCTGGGGGGGGAGGGGAGTGAGGGGCCGGGGGGGGGGCAGGTAGTGGAGCAGGAGGAGGGGGGAAAATTATATAAGAAATGGAGGAGGGGGGGGATAGAGTGGTTGAGTGTGAAGGCCACAGCAAACACAGCAATCACACAGCACGGTACCGACCCCGCCCTTCCAGCCGGTCCCCCTCCGCCCCGCCTGTTCAGCTGCTGCCTGCTGCTGCTCTCTCACCTTGCCCCAGTTGGGCAGCTGCCGCAGCCCCGGCCACACCTCCTCCGAGGGGGTGCCCAGCACGGAGCAGATCTTGTCCAGCTGCTCGATCTCGCCTTGGCCGTCGAACAGGGGCTTGCCTGGGGGGGGGGGGGGGGATGGGCGAGGAATGGAGTTTCTGAGTGCAACATTCGTGGCTTCTGGGCTCCTCCTGGGCAAAACTATGTGCAGTACGGCATGCACCGGAGGAGTATCGCCGCCCCTTACCGATATCATTCACTTTACCCACCCGTCAGTAGCTCCCTCCTCCTCTCCCCCCCCCCACCCGTTCATTTCTTACCCCTACCCGTCAGCAGCCCCCCCTACAGCAGCCCCACCCCCTCCCCCCCCCTCCACCCGTCAGCAGCTCCGCCTCACCCCCTCCACCCCCCCCATACCCGTCAGCAACTCCGCCATGATGCACCCAATGCTCCACATGTCCACCGCGGTGCTGTACAGCGCCGCCCCCAGCAGCAGCTCGGGCGGGCGGTACCACAGCGTCACCACGGGCTGCGTGTAGGGTCGCAGCGGGGAGCCGAACTGGCGGGCCAGGCCAAAGTCGCAGATCTTGAGCTCCCCCGCGTTGTTGTACAGGATGTTGGAGGTCTTGAGGTCCCTGGGGAAGGGGGGGGGAAAGGGGGGGGAAGGGGGGGCAAGGTGAAGGGTAAGCAGGAGAGGGGAGGGGGGTGGGTGGGAGGAGGAGGGCTTCGGGGTGAGGAAAAGGGTCGACGAAACACACACAGGTAGATGGGACGGCGGGGGGGAGAGGCCGGCGGGGCCGTAATAGGGGCCGCGCTGTTCTTGCGGGTACCTGTGCAGGCCCTGTACCAGCAGAGCCGCATGTCTCAGGTCTCATCCGAACCTCCAAACACCTTCCCCCTCTCTCTTCCCCCTCTTCCTCCCCCCCACCTACTTTAATGCACCCTGCCGCTTCCTAACCATTGTTTTGCGCCAAGTTGTGGGTTCCCTATGGTTCCGTGCGGTCTTTGATCCCCCTCCTCCTCCTTCGCAATCCCGCCTCTTCCTCTCCCCCCCACACACCAGTTTTTTTCCCCTCCCCACCTGTGTATGACCCAGTTCTCGTGCAGGTATTCGATGCCGCCCAGCAGCTGCAGCATGAGGCACTTCACCTCCGCCACACTGAAGGGGCGCGTCATCTGGCTCTTGTCGTTCATGAGCGACTTGAGGTCGTGGTCCATGAACTCCATCACCATGAAGATCTGGTCCAGACGGCTGGGGGAGGGGGGGGGAGAAGGGGGAAGGAGGGGGGAAGGAGAGGGGTGAAAAACATTGATAAGCAGTGCAGCAACGGAGCCCCAATCCCGACTTCTGCCGTGACGTGAAAGGGAGTGGAGGGAGGGGCGGAGGGGGCGGGTTGAGAGGAGAGGAACAGGAGGAGGAAACAAGGGGTTGGGTTTGAGCTCGCGCAGCAGGGTTAAGGGAGGCGGGACGTAAACGTGCAACGTCATGAGGTCCCCCTCTGCCCATCTTCATGTCACCCCGCCCCCAACGGCCCCCCCCCCCACCCACCCACCCACCCACCCACCCACCCACACCCCGCTCCTCCCCCCCCCACCTTCCCATGACCACCTCCGACACATTGACTATGTTGGGGTGGTGCAGGTTGAGCAGGATGTTGATCTCGCGGATGGAGGTGACCGGGAAGCCGTCGCGCTCCTTCTCCATCTTGATCTGGGGGCGGTGGGGGGGGGCGGTGGGGGAGAGGTGAAGCGGGGTGAAGGGGGGAAAGAGAGGTTGGGCGAGAGGGGGAATCAGAGGCAAAAAGAGGAAATTCACTAGCTATATGCAGCGGCTTCACCTTGGATGATGGAAGGAGGGAGGGAGGGAGGCGGAAGCAAGGAAGACGGTTGGTGTTTTTCCTAGGCGTGGTACCGTAGCTCAGGAAGGTGCAGGCGGGTGTGTCTGCTAGCGAGTCACACAGCCCGTGTTGCAGCCGGGTCAAGCACCGGTGCATGCGGTACGTGCCGTACGCAACGAGAGCACACTGATTGACTGGTTGGTTGGTTCGTGTGCCCCGCTGGGGGCCCATCACGGCACTCGGCGCCTGGGACCCCAAACCCTGCAATCCGCAACTCCACAACCCGCAACCCCGCACGCGCCCCGCACCTTCTTCAGCGCGCAGATCCGGCCGGTCTTCTTACAGCGGGCCCGGAACACCACTCCGTACTGCGGTGGGGGGGGGGGGGTAGGGGGTATGGAGGGAGTGGGTTAGGGAGGGCTGTCTGGTGGGGCAGGAGGAGGAGGAGGAGGTGGTGTGGGCGACACCGGTATGGAGGCAGGCTGGTGCAGTGGAGCTGGCAGCCACACACGACCGACGTCGGGAAACAGCGGGGCAGCGCAATGGAGCCATCCAACCGCACCCCCGCACGGCTGTCGTGCCTCCGGGCGGCCCGCACAGCACCCCTCTCCTCTCACCTTCCTCTCCTCTCCCTCCTCCCCTTCCTCTCTGCCTTCTCCCCCCCACCCGCCCCCCTCCCCATCAGCTCACCGTTCCCTCGCTGACCCGGTTGAGTCGCTCGTACTCGTCCACCGAGCGGCACTCCGACAGGGCGGCGATCTGCCTGTGTGTGTGGGGGGGGGGAGGAAGGGGCGTGTGCGGGTCAGTGTGTGAAACAGCTGGGAAGTGTAAGGTACGGAAAGGCGTAACTGCAGATGTCAGGATCGCGAGTGCGCGGGCTTACAGGAAGTGTGTGTGCAGTTGCGAGTGTGTAGTCATGGCGCGCATATAACGGCTCCTATAACGGCTACGAAGTAGGCACCAGGGGTGCTGCAGTCACATGCATGGGTGGGGGAAGGCAGGTGGTGGTGGTGATTGCGGTACTACTGCTGCTTCCCCTATGACTTCTGTGTGACCGTTCGTGACCGTTCACTCCCCCCTCCAGTCCGCGCTCGCTTCCCCGTCTCCCCCTCCCCCCCCCCACACACACAGCACTCACTGGCTAATGAGCGGCTCCTCTTCGTCCCCTGACGCCCCGCCCTCATCACCGCCTCCACCGCCTCCACCCCCAGCCTGTTTGCCGCCTCGTCCCTCCGTGCCACCGCCGCCCTCGGCGCCACCGCCACCCCCACCACCACCAGCAGCAGGGGATCTAGAGCTGCTGGAGGCGCGAGCGCCGCCGCCGCCGTCACGCCCCGAAACCGCATCCCCGCCACCAGCCGAGGGCGCCCCGTAGGGACTGGGGGATGCGCCTGCGGGTGCGGGTGGGAATGAGGGATGAGTTGGTAGACGGGTAAGTGGACGGGTGGATGAGTGCGGTGATACGGTAGGCATCGACTATCGACTGTTAGACAGAAGTTAAGAGGGAGACGTGGAGGATGGGCGGCAGTGCACTCCACTCCCCGCCCAGCTGCCAAGCATAACCCCGGACTTATGGAACGGTGGAAGCATGGAGGCACCCGCATCCCCCAGTCCCTACGGGGCACCCTCGGCCCGCACCCGCATCCCCCAACCCGCAGGTAGAGCCGCAGGTCGCTTACCTCTTCCCTCCTCCTGCTGCGCTCCCTCGCCGTCACCGCCCACCCCCGCTGCCCCTCCTCCTCCTCCGCGGCTCCGCCCCCCCGCCGCACCGCCCCTCGTCTCCGGCGCCTCGTGCTCCGCATCCAACCAGCGGGACCCACCTGGTGAGTGGGTTTGGGGGGAGGGGCGGGAGGGGAGGTCAAAGACCCTGCACCGAACCATAGGAAACCATAGGTCGGAGGGATGGGGGCCTGGGGGGGCGGTGTGTACAGGTGCCTAGAGGATCATGTGAACAGGGTTACTCGCGCGGGACTGGCTGACCTCGCCACCACCTAGGGGTTGGTTGGTTGGGTAATACGGGAGTGTCCTGCAGCAGGAGAGCAGGAGCCAACGAGGGGGCGCTTCCCCCCAAGATCCTACCTCTAGGCCGCCGCTCATCCTCCTCCTCGTCCTCCTCCTCCTCCCCGCGCCAGCCCCGTCCGCGCCCCCGCTCCTCCTCCGCCTCCCCTCCCTCCATGTCCGCCCCCGACCGCTGCTCGCTGCCATCCCGGCGGGAGCCGCTGCGACCCGCAGGAGCTTCCCGGGAGCCCTCACGACCTGGGGGGGGGGGCGTCAGGGGTTGGGGTGAAGATGAGGGGCCCGCGCGTGTAGAAGAGGCAGGACGGAGCCACACGCCACCAAGAGCACGCGCAGATCGTGTATAGGGGGAAGGCAGGAGAGCAGCGACTCGGCAACCCCTCTGGCAACCCGGTGTACTCCCAGCCGCGGCCCCCCCCCCCCGCCACGGATCGGGCTGGCTCACATGTTGCAAACCATGATGATGCCTTATCACACGGTCAGTTAGTCGTTTCCTCTTTACCCCCCCCCCCCCCAAACACACGGGTTCCTTAGTAGTCTCCTCTTTACCCCCAGACCCTCCCCAATCCCACCCTCCTCCTCACTTCTCTCCTCCTCCTCCTCCTCCGAGTCCGACGGCAGTGCCTTCCGAGCGGGCGGCCCCTCCGGGTCGTACCCCAGCGCCGCCGCCTGCTGCTGCTGCTGCCGGAACGCCGCCAGCTCCGCAGCCGCGCGGTCCACTGCGGACGGCGGCGGACCCGAGGCGGAGCGCTTGGAGGGCGGCGGCCGGCCCTCGCCAGCCTCACCCGTGCTGCGAGCTGCGGGGGGAAGGAGGGGGAGGAGGAGGGGGCGGTTGGAGTGAGGAGGGGAAATGTAGGAGTGATAAACGCCGCATGCCCCGAGCTTGATACCCTGCCGTTGATACAAGCCGCCGGCTCGGCCCTGGCCCTTCCCGTCTCTGGCGCCCGAGTGCGTCTGCATACATACATGTGCACTTCAGCGCACACGCACATGTGCATGCTCACGCACCTGAGGGCCCCTGCTGCCCCTGCCCCTGCTGCACATCCGGGTTCCACACGATGGGTGAGTGGTAGCGCCGCTTGGTGCCACCTCCGCCACCTCCACCACCCCCGGCAGCAGCAGCACCCGCAGCAGCACCCCCGCCACCACCACCACCCCCGCCCCCTCCGCCCGGCTGGCCTGCCTGACCGGGGTGGGCTGCCGCCAGGATCTCGCCTGCAGGGTGGGTGGGTGGGTGGGTGGGTGGGAGCAGGGGCGGGAGGACTGTGCTGTTACTCACGCTAGGGGGAAGGGCATGTAGGGTACCGGGGATGATGCAGCCGGTGTACGGGTGACGCCGCAGGCCTCACACATGCTTGCATTGCCGCGCTGCACATCCTCCCCACCCCCACACACACCATGCAAGCCAGCGCTTTCACCAGCCCCGGGTGCTCAGCTCCCCGCATACCCCCACCACCCGCCACCCTCACCCACCCGCCTCCGGCGCCTCCCCATCGCTCGCTGAGCCCGACCCAGGCGCCGAGCCCGCGCCGCCCTGCTCCTGCTCCTGCTGCCGCGCTTTGGCCTGCCGCAGCAGTTCCGCGAGCACCGAGTTGCCCTTGGGCCGGCTGGAGGTGGGGAGGAAGGGAAGGTGGAGGGGGGGGCGGGGGTGAAAGGGGGCTGGGTTAGAAGGGGAAGTGGGGAGAAGAGGCCCCAGCGGGTAGAGTAGGTCGACGGACCACGGGATGTGTGAGACATGTCCAAGGCAGTCCCGGCACCCAGTCTCCCTTCTTACCCAGGCGTGTTGCCCTTGACGGGCGTTGTGCCCGAGTGGTAGCCCCTGTCACGGTCCTGTGGGAGGTGCAGCGGCCCGATTAGCGAGGATAAGGGAAGGGTCTTTTGACACTTGAGTTGGGACGGCCCAAATGGGTAAAATCCATTACAACCGCTGGGCCTGGAGGGCGCCTTACCCGCTGAGGCGATCTTGACTCGTGAGCGGGTCTAGACCGCGAGTGCGAGGATCCTGATTTCAGCCGGGAACGGTCGTGGTCCTTTCCCCTGTCCCCGTCAGCCCTGTGGAATGCAGGTTGGGACATGCTCACTCAACCGTGATGCAAGAGACTAAACCAGCGCGTAACAACACATTGCTTTAAAGTTAACTCACTCTCGGTGGGAGCGGCTGTGGTGGTGGTGGTGGCGATCCTCCCTCTTGTCTCTCCCATCCCGGCCATAGTCTCCTCGCCGGTCGTAATCCCTGTCCCTAGATGAGCCATGACCCTGAGAGTGCTTGGAGGACATTTATGAAGAGCTGGGAAGCATGACAAGTGAAATAGTGAAGATAGCGCTCAACGTTTCGTCAAAGGGTTCTACGTTTGAATGCTGCTACCAATCGCATGTAGTGTACACCTAGAAATCTTTGCAAATCGCCAACTGTGGACGAAGGTCGCCGCCCGCTAGTCGTACAGGCAACAAAGCGACACGTAAGGTGTAAGCGTGTAAGTTGCCTTTCTGCGTATACCGTTTGAGATGACATTTTTGTTGTCTCCTCGGTTGCTAGACCTTGACTACTCTCTCTTTGACTGAGTCGTTACTCGTTAGACTGTGCGCTAGGGCTGGTGCATACAATGCCCGTATTGCAACGGGGCAACCAGTGTTCAACGTCTCAGAGCAACTCCAGCAACCAAAGAACTGCCGTCGCACTTGAGCATCGTGCTTGGAGCTTGGTTACCTAGACACCTCGTCTGGTTGATTGCAGCGACAACATCAGAGCACAAAGAGGCACACAAGATGGTGCAAGGTGCGAAAGGGCAGCACGTGTGCGCTCAAAGGCATTTAACTGCCTGAGCAACACCCCACGCATCCCGAAACCAGCTCGCGAACGAGAACCTTGTGAGGTTGCACCTACACGCCGCCACTGGATAAACTTTGCACAGAGGCGCCCCTGACACCCCGCCAGCTACCTAAGCCCTCACGTATGTACAACAGCAGTAACGAACCGAAGGAGCAACAATAAACGCACGGGTAGCCGCGAAAGCCAGTGACCCGTGAACTGACTGCAAACGGCCTGCATTGCGGTAAACGACCTGCTGCAAGTCAAGCCAAGCCACGCCGCTCATGATGCACTTCTGTCGTCTGAGGGCGGACATCTACATAGCATGTTGTACGGCAACAAACACCGCCACAGCTGCCGTACTGCTGCCGGCCCAACAGCACCTACCAGCAGCGTTCCTGTTTGCTACAACTGTGGCTGCAGTTAGCCATGCACTACGTGTCCTGCTGCTGCTAGTCCCGCTTAGTTCAGCGGTTGGCCTCAACCTATGCCCAGCCGCCTGTGAGAAGGTGTTGCCACGTCACGTCACGTCGCATCACCAGCTGCGGAGGGGGAGGGAGCGGCAGCAGGGAGGGACTGCCGTGAGCAGAGAAAGCAAAGCCCGCAAGAGGAAGCGCAGTCAGCAGGAGGGTGCGTCTGGACACCCACGTTTAAGGGCGGGTAAGGTTGTCAGCTGCTGATGTTGCCTAGGAAGTCCGTAGAGGCTCTCATAACCATTAGCGCATGCACGCCGCTGCTTGCACGCCGTACATGCCGTGCACCGTTTCGCGGCACCTCACCAGAGCCGCATGAGACATTGCACCGTCCAGCAGTCCCAAATAAACACACAGCTGCAGGCCTCACCTCGCGTCGGAGCTCCGCTCGACATCTTCCTCCTCCTCGTCTGACGTGCCTGCGTGCATGCAAGTCAGCAGCGGGAGGGCGGGCGGGGGAGGAACGGCAGGGTGAACAGGCAGGGAAGGGCGGCTAGGTAGGTTACCAGCAGAACCGCGACGCGCATGGTTCGATTCGGGGCGCAGGTCCTGTGGCGCCTTCATGGCGTTATCACGGTACCCCTGCACGCAAAGGCCTGCTTCCACAGCTTCCACAGCTCCCACAGGCCAGCATGCCGCAGATGCGACGCTGTAAGCTTGCCAAACGAATACCAGGCAATACGGTGACACAACCCTACCTTCGCTGGATGGCACGCCGGACGCGAAGTCCCCCCAGCGGTAGCGCTTGGGTGGCCGACCCCTCCGCTCGGGCCGCCTCCGCACCTCATGGCGCCGGTCTTCCTCCTCCTCCTCCTCCTCCTCCCCCTCCTCCTGCCCCTGCTGCGGGTCCCCGCCGGCCGCCTCAGGTACTCCCCCAACCGCCTCCTCCTGCTCCATCAGCCCAGCAACCGGCTCGTTCTGTGGCTCTCCCTGCGCCGCCAGCGCCTGTGGGGACATACACCAGCGCGGTACCGTGCTGGAACAGCAGATGACCCATGGGTCGCACAAGCACAACCTGTGCCTCTACTACTGCGGCCCAAAGCAAGGTCTGCAGGTCTCACGGTGCCATCCTTGCTTACACCCTACTAATCCCCTGCACGTCCCTCATTATGCACTCACCTCATGTAGTCGTCGTGCAGCGGCTGCGGCCTTCCTCTTGGCCTCCGCTCGCGCCACCTCCTGTGCTGTTGGCGTGCGCAGCAGCAGGTGCAGCGGCCCATCGGGGCAGGGCCGGGACCAGCCCAGGAACCACTTGCCAGCTGCTTCCTTGAGCAGGGGTGTGCTGCTTACCGCCGAGCCGTAGGTTAGCTTGGACACATTAACATCGTACACCCGGTCTTGAAGCTTGTTGTTGAACACCACCTGCCGCCAACACGCATCGTGGGGGGGGGTGCAATGTGTCTGAACCAAGAGGGGTGGTAGGTTGCAAACAGCTGTACCTGCATACCGTGGTTGACTGCAAAGCTCAAGCAAAAGGGCATGAAGCCGATCCCGTTCCTGGTTCGTGCCTACCTGCATCCCGTTGTATGGTAAAAGCCTCATGCGACATGCTATGCAGGGGATCGCCCTCTTCTCATCGCCGCCGACTTTCCGCCTGCACTATCGACACACGCTTTCTTGGGGCCCGGCTGCTGCCCCCACCTGCACTGTGGCTTGGCCGCCTCCGTATGACGATCCGAACCATGCCCTCACATGCGCAGTGGATATTCCCAGGTAGCAGCGGGAATGAATCAGGCGCTCCTTGTAGCCCTGGATGGGGTGAGGGGGCCCATGACAGTTAGTGATGACCGGCAGAGCGGGCTTCAGCGCCCTGCCGCCTGACAAGTACGTCCAGGTAATAAGCGTACCGGTAAACTACGGGGGCGTGCACTACATAACTGCGCAACTGGGTGGAAACCACAGTAGTGGGGGCGCGCTACACAGTTGTACATGCCACTAAGCCCCCAGCGACTACCGGTATAATATATATAGGAACATAGCAGTTGGAATTCTCCGCAAGTGAGTGGGTGACTCATCATGAGCCCGCGTCATCATTTGGACAGACATGAAGCAAAGGCGTGCGTGCAGGTGCTGCCTCCGTGAGTGGTGTGGTAAATGCAATAAGGGATATGGGTAACCGAGCCAAACATTGGTCAGGACTGACCCGGAACCGTGGGGCGGCTGCTGCCCCTGCTGCTGCGCCGCCTTCTGCGCTGTCAGACTCCTCAGCTCCATCCCGTCGCACTCCCCGCTGCTGCTGCTGCTGTTGGTGGGCGAACGGCTGTGGCAGCACCAATCCCTGCTGCGGCCCCTCCGCCGCCCCCGCCAGCAGCAACCCACCCTGTTGCTGTGCTGCAGCGGTGGGTGCAGCCGCAGCCGCAGCTGATGCCACCGCTGCTGCTGGCATTGGTGCTACAGTAGTGGTGGTGGTGGGTGCAGCTGTCGTCCCCAACCCCGTGGCCGCAGCCGCCGCAGTAGTTTGCCTTGCTGCGACTCGGCCGGTCGCTGCTAGCGCAGGCAGTCCAGGACGTGGCTGACCAGCAGCAGCAGCAGCAGCAGCAGCAGACGCCGAGACTCCAGCCTGCAGCGGGGTGTGCTGCGAGGTTGAGGTTTCGGGTCCGATCAGGCCGGGGTATTATCAGCCCCCTTCAGTACTACCGCATCCAACGCGGTCAACGTGCATTACATGCATGCGAGGTACTTGCACTTGTAGTTCGGGGATGCACGCACCCTAGAACAGCCAGCCAGGGAAGCATCCTTAACTTAAAGAGGAAGGAAGGATAGCCTTTCTGCTTCAGGTTCGTTCACAGATAGGGACGGTAGCGCTTAAAGACCCCGTCCTACGGATTGTAATGAAGATCCCCCTTCACTACGGCACCTCGACTACGGCACCTCGACTACGGCACCTCAAGCACGGCACCGACCTGCATGTTCGCGGCCCCAGGCGTCATGTCGGCAGCAGACGCCCCGTCGCCACTGCTGCTGCGGCAAGCAGCGCCTAAACCAGCACCAGCAGCACCGAATGCTGCCTGGAAGACCCCTCCTGCGGTTGTTCCTGGGTTCCACAGGTCAGGTGGCACCTCAGCCTGCCCTGCTGCTGGTGATTCTGCGGCCGTCATTGTTACCCTGCTGCCGTAGCTGCACTGCGCACCGCTGAAGCCTCCACTGTCAGGGGTCACGTTCATGAGCGGTGTGTGGGGAGAGGTGGGAGAGAAGGGCATGCTGAGCGGCATACCGCCAACAGCCGCAGCAGCAGCTGCGGGAAGAGTGTGAGCCAGCAGCAATCCCGCTGGCGCTTGGAAGCCGCCTCCGTCGACAGTGTTGGAGCCGTAGGGGTGGTGGTGGTGGTGAATCTGCAGGGACAGGGGGAACAGGGGGATGTGCATGGGGGCGTGATCATGATACGTGTGTTTTGCGTGTCATTGCAGCCTGCCGCACGCACGCAAGGATGTGCCGGTAAGCGCGCGCGACGATGTACCGGTAAGGCCACACGCTAGCTACGGTCGCACACACACACGCCGTGCTGCTTACCTGCTGTGTCAGGCCCTCCATGCTCCCCAAGCCGCCAGCCAGACCCAGGGCCTCAGGGCTGATGGGGCCGCCCCGCCCCTCCGCGTAAACCCCTGCTGCTGCCGATAGCTGCACCGCCAAGCCCCCTCCCGGAGCAGCGGACCCCCCGGCGGCGGCTGCGGCCGACAAACCGCCAGCCGCCCCTCCCGTGCCGCTGGCTGCGGCTGCTGCTGCTGCCTCTGCAGCTGCGGCGGCTGCCGCCGCTGCCGCTGCTGCAGCTTCTGGAGCCGATGGGATCGTGTTGTGGCCTAGGTCAGCCCCCGTTGCCGTCGAAGCAGCTTCACCATCTTCCCTAGCAGCCTCAGCAGCCGTAGCGGCGGCGGCAGCAGGGCGAATGCTGAGCTTGACCCTTTTGGGACTACTCATCTCGGCATCGGGGCCTTGCTGCTGCCGCCTCCAATTGCGCCGCAGAATGCCCTCGTGCTGCCGCTGTTGTGGCGGCCGCTGCTGCTGCTGCTGCTGCATCCGCTGCTGCTGCTGCGGACGGGTGATGAGATGCGGTGGAGACGTCGTGCCAGCGGCGG